GACCCAGGAGTTTAGCAAGTATATTTGGATCAGCAACGAGGGCACTGCGCTAGACAGTAAAGTGCGTGTAGTTTATGGTCGCAATCCGCCTGACTTTTCGGAGGTGGACATCATCAACCTGTAACGATGGGGTGGAGTATGTGTTGGTAGCAGGTTGAGGGGCATTACAGTACTGATTCAAAAGGAAGTAACGAGAAGCAAGGGAGTGGACGTAGGATTTGCATGCATGTACCGGAAAGAAGAGGTTGCGAACGAAGATGAGATACCCGTGAACTTATCATTTCGTCTTTCTCTTTTTCTTTTTTTGGGTGGCCTTTCACGTACAACTCGTCTCCTTGTGGTGACAGTGCACGGATTCCTTCTTGCATAAAACTGCGTTGCATCATTGTTTAGGTAGTAGACATTATTCTCGACTCCTCGTACGGCGTGCTTGATGGAACATGGGTGGGCATACAGATATATAGAGCACAAAACGAATCCCCTTCAAAGGGGAATGATAATGAATAGCGTTTACCACATACACTAGTAGTTCGGTATCTGAAATGATAGTATATTAGGGAAAATAGAAAGCCGAAGGAGCAAACTTGCACATTGTCCCTTGGAAAGAAAGGAATACCATAGGTGATGATGGGTTGCGATTGGCTGGGCAACGAAGTACATCGATACATGGCTATTTCGGAGCACTGTGCGAATAGTCAGGACAGCCCAGCCGAATAAAGTGGAACGTGCTTGGCATCCCAAGGTGGTTGCAGAGAGACGCGTCTGGAGACCGTTTCGACCGTTACTGCAACTCACTCTTGACCTTACTTTGAAGATTTGGGAATAAAAGCACTGCAGTCACACCAAGCCGATGTTCTTTTATCAACAACTCAACGGAGCTATCAACGCTTAGCCATTCATCCAAGTGAACGTATCAACAAAGGACAGCCGAATAAACAAAGCATTCACATTTCTCCTCCAGCAGCATGCCTCCCAAAAGCAACGACACTCACACAACAGGGATGAAACGACCCCGATCGCGTCTGCAGGACGAAGAAATCACCGATGAGAACAGAGCACCACCAATATCGACGCCGGGAGGAGTAATGGCCAGTGCCATCAGCAAATCCAAAAGACAGCGACTGAGCAATGTCTTCGATCAGACCATGTTTTCATCGCCACCCGGCACGACAGGAGGTTTAGATCCCTTTGCAGCTAGCAGCCCCGTCCTCGGATTGCCTACTACACCATCTGTGATAGCAACACCAGCGGGGGTCAGAACATCGGCACGCCGCAGCGCAGCAAAGCAGCAAGCAGCAAGACAACACACTCCTGTCGCCGCCGATGCCAAGACGAGGTTCATCGTCGAACGACCACCGGCTAAGAAACTGGTGTTTGAGGAAACATGGAGGAGTCTTGGTCCGACAGGCGATAAGGCGGGCGCCAAGGGCGGCAAGGGGTCGGAAAATCCTTCGCCTCCCCCCGCCAAGGTGGTTAATAGCGAGGGGGAAGAGGTATTGGGAGGGGAAGGGCAACAGGCGAAGCAGCGACGGGGCACAAGCGAGAAGTCCAGAGCTGCGGCTGCTGCGGTCCAAACGAAGGATGATATCTACGCAATTCCTGATGATTCGGAGGATGAGTTGAAGCTCAATGGGAGGGCGGATCCTCAACGGGTGAAGGAGAAGCAGCAGAAGCAGGAGGGAAAGAAGAAGAGGGGCCCGCAGCGGAAACCGAAGGAAGCAACAGCAGTAACGACTGATGGGTCAAATGATGCTACGAAAGATCCACCCCCACCCAAGAAACGCGGCCGGCCGAGGAAGGCTGACAGGATCACGGCGGCGGAAAAGGTGACCAATGCAGCCCCCGCGAAGGTCTCTCGACGGCAACCAAGGTCAACAAAGAAGAAACCAGCAGACTTGGTGGAAATCAGCGATTCTGAAGAGGAACCTGACGACGCTATCGATGACCAGCTTCTGGCGGACCTGGATTACGAAGATGGAAAGAAGAGCCATCAACGGGCCGGACAGCAGCAACAACCAGAGCTCAGAGGGATATTGAGTCCCCGGAAAAAGAGAGTGGGCGGTGATGGCGATCTACTGCGCAAGACTGTGGCTTTTAGCAGGTCCAAGGAGGTGGAGGACGAAGACGAAGAGGATGAGGAGGAACGAAAGGGGATGTCGACTGAAGTTATGTTTGATGACCTGCCGACGAAAAAGAAGCCAGCATCCCGAGAGAACGGAATCGTGCCTGAATCACCGACCGTAGACGGCGAAGATGCCGAAGATGCGGCAGCGGAGGATGAAGAATTTGACACAGAAGAGGCTGGGAGCAACGATGATGAAGAGGTCTGTGTGATCTGCTCAAAGCCAGATACCAGAAAAGGTAACCAGATCGTCTTCTGCGACGGCTGCGACAAGGCTGTTCATCAAAAGTGCTACGGTATCCCTCGCCTTCCCAAAGGAGACTGGTTCTGCCGCGAGTGCTTGGAGCTAGGCAAAGACAAGGAGAAGAAGAAGAAGAAGAAGGCTGTACCATCGGCATCAGCGGACGTAACAGTGACGCGCAGAGAGGACGAAACGATGGCCACGGTTGAGGTAGTACCCGAAGAGAAGGTGCCGGATATCCCAAACTTTGAGCGGCATCTACGGTCTCTGCAGCGAGTCCTGGTCGAGCGCTGCACGGGTGGGCGGCGGATCAAGCTGCGTGGTCAGGAAGAGGCGTATGCAAAGACTTGCCAGTTGGTCGAGCAAACTATTGTGGCAGGTGAAGGTAACTCCATGATGGTCATTGGCGCCCGAGGAAGTGGGAAAACGACGGTAAGCAGTGGTCTCGTTGTTTGCAAATTTGAAAACAACACATGAGTGGGCTAGTTCTAACAGTGAATCGCCATAGCTGGTCGAGTCTATCATGTCCGACATGTCTTCGCAGCATAAGGATGAGTTCCACGTGGTGAGGCTGAACGGCTTCATCCACACAGACGACAAATTGGCTCTCCGAGAAATCTGGCGCCAGCTCGGTAAGGAGATGGCCGTCGAGGATGAGCTCATCAACAAGACCACCAACAACCACGCCGACACCATGGCGTCCTTGCTGGCGCTTTTATCTCACCCTGCGGAAATCGGTCTGGTACCGCAGGATGGAGTGACATCTAGGTCTATCATCTTCTTGATCGATGAGTTCGATCTCTTTGCCACACATGCCAGACAAACCTTACTGTACAACTTGTTTGACATTGCCCAGGCGAGGAAGGCGCCCATCGCCGTTCTGGGCCTGACAACGAGGATTGATGTTGTCGAGAGTCTGGAGAAGCGCGTCAAGAGTCGGTTTAGCCATCGATATGTGTATCTCTCTCCACCGAAGAGCTTGCCTGCGTACTGGGAGATTTGCAAGCAGGGTCTGATGGTTGATGAAGAAGACATGGAAACGGAGGGGATCGACCAGGCGGTGGAGGGCCATACTGAGTTTTTCGAATGGTGGAATAGAAAGATCACGGTAAGTTGCATTTCCCCCGCATCCTCTCTATGCTATTTGTCTTCTCTACTTTGTTACTGTAGACCTCTGTGCTGACTTACAACCGTCAGACCCTCTACAAAACCCCCGCCTTCCAACATCACCTAGAATCTCACTTCTACAGCACCAAATCCGTCCCCGCCTTCCTAACCTCTTGCATCCTCCCCCTATCAAGCCTCTCCCCCTCCTCTCCAACCTTGAGGATACCTCCGACTCCAGCGGTACACTCTTCCTCTTCCCTCACTCATACCCTCCCTACCACCGAACCCCCGGACTCCAAGCTCCACCTCCTCGCCTCTCTCTCCGACCTCGATCTTTCCATGCTCATCGCCGCCGCCCGCCTCGACATCGTCGCCCACACCGACACGGTCAACTTCGCCATGGCCTACGATGAGTACACGTCGCTTATGGGCCGGGTGCGCGTGCAGAGCGCTAGCGCCGGTCTGCTCGCTCTCGGCGGCGGGTCCAGGGTCTGGGGCCGCGGGATTGCGGGTATTGCATGGGAACGGCTGGTTACATTGGGTTTGCTGGTGCCTGCTGCGGGTTCGCTGGGCGGAGGCGGGGCGAATGCTAGAGGGGCTGGAGCGACTTTGGGGCAGAGCGGAGGTGGCCTGGAGGGGAAGATGTGGAGGGTTGATGTGGCATTGGAGGAGATTCCGGGGGCGGTGAAGTTGGGGAATGTGTTGGCGAGGTGGTGTAGGGAGATTTGAATGTTGCTCTGCAAAGACAGTAAATATGTGTTGTAGGCTTACCTTGTTGCGTCAGGTCTACTTCCATGGTCAGGACGGGATCAAGTGAATTACTCGTAGGCTCGTCTAGGACAAGCGAAAGTCGACTTTGGAACACCATGTCAACGGCAAAACTGACAAGACACCAACGAGATCGTAGGGATGTACGTAGAAATCTGTGGCTATGGAAGACTATGAGGACAAATGAAAGGAATAAAGGTAATGAGAGGGATGAAACCCGTCTTGATATTCACATCGACGTCATGGTTTTGGTGTCCTGGCCCGGCGGCAGTCTAGGTTATAATCAAATCTCAACTAGGTGTCCATTGGCACTTACCCACTCGAATCAAACTTGCAAATGAATAAGTTGTGTTCACGTTTGTTTTGCAGAAGGAATGCACCCAAGTTCAGGACTCATAACGGCTTGGAATGGTTCTCATACCAGTTTCGTTACCACGCTAACAAGCTTAATGCCGGCAAAAGTGTAAGGTGAACGGAATTCAAAAGTGTATCTAGCATTGTCTCAAAAAGTACTCTAAATGCAAAGTACCACAGCACGAGAATGGGACGAAATTACTCTCAAAATACAAATCTAAACAAGAAAGCAAAACCCTAGCAAAAAAAAAAAAAAGAAGAGAAGCGAAATCCCCAAGGTAGCACGATCATCTCAAAGGCAGATAGATGTCAAGTTACACCATCAGCGCCTACCAATTGTCTGTGACAGTCCATTCATCCATACATTATCACCCAGAAGAAGCAAACAAAATCATCCAGATCGTGTTCTCAAAAACAAAAAACTCCAACCATACCAAGAACCACCGCCAACACAGCGGCAGCGGCAGGGTAACCACGTGCGGCACCAGCCATCACAACACTAGGTTGAGCAGGAGCCTTGGTCCAGGTTGGCTCGGCATGAGTAACAGGGATAACCATCTCTGTAGTGGTAGCCGTGGCGACGGCAGTCTGGGTGACGAACGAGTCGCAAGCCGTAGAGAACGAGTTCGGGGCCGGGGCGGCGGAACCCCAGGCGGACCAAGGGCCGTGAGGACCGTGGGGAGGACGAGCGGGAGGGGGATGGAAGGGGGCGGCCTTTTGTTGATGTGGTTAGTATCTGTACCATTCTATCTTGCTTGTGGTGTGGATATCGACTGTAGAGATGAAAACGATTGGGAAGAAGGAACAGAAAAGGAAAAAGTGTCAAGACTTACAGTAGCACCCGCAGCATCGGTGGTGCACGGGAGGGTAAGAACAGTCGGAGCCGTCACCGCGACAGGAGCTCCATTCCAAATAAAGCTGGTAGGCGTAGGGCAGAAGATGGTGGTGCTCGAGGCGACAATGGCGTCGTTGTCCTCGCCCTCACCAACAGAATCTTCATCTTCTTCACAATCAGGTTCATATTCGGCAGTGGCAGTGACGGCGGCATCTTCCTCCTCCATATCAGCCTGGACTGGACGTCTGGCTCCAGGAGCACCGGGAGAAGGGGGAGGAGGAGGAGGAGGAGGAGGAGGAGGAGGACCAGAAGAAGGACTGGAAAAACCAGCAGGAGCAGGAGCGACAGCGTCGGTAGCGGCGGCGGCAGCACCAAAGCCCGCGGGAGGGGCGCTGGTCCCCTAGTGGAAGGCGGAGGCGGAGCCTGCGGCGAGAGAAGTGACGACGAGCGTGGTGAGATGCATCTTGACTAGGTAGGTAGTGAGATTGAATGAAGGTGTGATTAGCGATGGCTGAAGGACGGGATGTCTGTGATGTCTTGTTGGGAAAGAGCCACGAGTCTTCTCAGGGAAAGGAAGATTATGTGGTGTGGATGAAGTGAGTGACACCAAAAGTGAACTAATGAGTGACTGGAAAGAATGTGTTTAGAGAGTGACTGAGGTTGGAGTATGCTGGATGATGATGATGATGGGCTAACCTCCTCCAAGTGAGCAGAGGTCTCGCATCTTTATGGACTTTGATGAGTGTATTAATCACCCCAGGGATACAAACTCAAGATGTAAACAAACCAGCGCTTGAATTCAAATCCCAATGTTTGTTGTGATGTTGCTACGACTACCACTCACGATGCCTCAAGAATGTGTACGAAAGAGACTCCCCCACAACTCATTCCACGGCCACCTCCCATGACGACTGGTCACCGCAGCACATTCCTGACTTTTAAATCACAAATTCCAAACTAAACCTACAATATAGTGCTGGCTGTTTTGTTGGCTTGGTATTTAGGTATAGTACACCATTGGACGAGATGTTTTCCGAATTGTCCAAAACTATACAAGGACTCAATGAGTGGCCCGTATGGATCCAAAAGGCATGAACAAGATTCAACACGGTACATTTCACTTTGGATAGATCATTATCACAGCATGAAAACGCCTTGGGAAGTTGACCCAAGGTTTCGAGCTAACAAACAAACCAGTATTGGACAGTATGGTAGGCTGTTAAACTGATTCTAATTTTGCGAGTCCAAGGTATGGGACAGAGCACCGTCAGTGAGCCTTTCCACACACTGTCGGTCCTTCATTCCCCCCAACCAACATAAACAAGTCTTGTTGGCCTCTGCCTTCATACCTTCTCTTTCTTAAGCTGGCCCAGCCAGCTTTCTTCTGCACACAGACTGATTGATACACGGATCTTCCCAGCGTGGAAGCCCTCTTTATAGTAATGGGTTGATTATCACCTGGCCTGCACAATATTGTGCAGCCCCCAAGGACAATGGTGCCATCGAACTTAATGCAATTGATCACCCTTTCCCTTTCCCTTAACAAACCGTCCGTTTCCTTGCCCACCTTTCCCTATGCTGTCAGAAACCCCCCTTGACCAGTTCGTAATCCTTCCCCAAGATGACAAAGTAAATGGAGACTATATGCAGGTGACCAGCTCCCCCCATCTATGTCGCGTGTTATCCTTTGAACGCCGTATATCTCCAAAGAAGAGTAAGTGAACCGGAAAGATGGTAACAAAATTAGTAGATATTTAGCCACCAGGACAAGTGAAGTAACACGGGAGTCCTAGACTCCCTTATGCACAAGGACATGAAGCCTGCTCCCCATATTATAGAGAAGATGCTGAACGTGATCGAAATCGGGTTTTTATTCCAAGACTTGGGTCAGGGTCGATATTCTCTCGTCCCCTACCTATTCTCGGCCACACAAGACTTCACGTGCGGTTCGACCTGCTCTGGCTGCGCTCCACCATGCGTCCCTGGCCATGAACGGGCGTAATCGAATCAAAGTCGTAGTTCCTGAGCGTCTGCTCGTACTTCGGATTGCGAAGGAATTTGGGAACCGAGTCCTGTGTCTTTGTTAGCTGATGATTCCGATGATCCCCTTTCTCTCATGTTTTGAATTCAACTTACGCTCGCCATCAACTTGAAGACAGCGTTCTGAGCATCTTCAAAAAGCGCCATGACTTCTCGAAGCGTATCAATCATGGTGACGTCCTGGCCCACCGCCTTGGTCATACGTGTCGCGAGGTTATTACGCAACTGGTGATCAATGTTGAGTTCGCATGGAGAACCAGGGGCCAAGAAAGCATTGTAGATGCCGTAGGCCTGAGCCATGATCTCCTTGATTCCATCCAAGGAAGCCGCGCTGTTGGGGCTTCTTTGCGCAAGGTCGATCGCTGCTCTGCATTGACGAACAAATTCGTCGGTATCCAAGTAGAAGGCAAGATTCTCCTCGCAGTGAGTCTCACGGAGGTTCTCGCGGAAGAGCAGACGCAACGAATTCTCGTTGAGGATCTTGTCTAGGCGCTGGGTATTGGAATCACGCGCGATGCCAACAGAGCGGGACGCAGAGTGGCCATCACTTTCGGAAGGCCGTCCGCGAACCAATGCTCCATTGACAAGGTCCTTGCCCTTGGGTGTAACCTGGTAGATGGCGTGCTTGGTGGGTTGAAATAGGTGGTGGCCGGGGTTTTGTTGCATGTGGGCCTTGTCTTGCTGAACGGCCTCCATGAGCTCATACTCGACAAAAAGGGAGGCGATTTCGATTGTTTCCCTGCGGTCGACTGCGGTCGAACAGTCCATCAACCAGTCCGTTGCAGCCTTTCCAGTGAATGTGTCTCGGTAGGTCCTGCCGTTCACTTTGCGTTCCGCAGCCATCTTGACACCCGTCAGACCATCCCTGTAGTCGCTCAGAGAATCCGAGTCCGCCGAGCTCACGCTCTGCTTGATGTTGAAGCCATTGGGTCCAATAAACCGGCGGAAGATGACTTCAATCAGTGCGCGGTCGGTAAGCACCTTGTCAGTTTGGGGATTGCGCTCCAAAATGACGATCTGAGGCAACGAATTCCCGATGAGCTCGGCGACTTGCTTCTGTTGAATGCCGTTTCTGGAGCAGAAGCGATCCAAAATGGAGATTCCCTTGGGTGTTAGCTGCCATACGGACCCCTTCATGCTGTATACCTGTTGGTACCTGCCATCCGCAGACTCGATGAACCTGGCCTCGAGGAATCTTTGACATATCGAACGGGCCATGTCCTTGGCCATTGAGAAGGTTGTTGTGGTCGTAGTGGTCACGATGCGCGAAGGGTCCTTAGGGTCCGGCATGCGGTTGGACTGCGAGAATTTGAGGGAGCCCAAGTTGTTGATGGCATCCTCAGACAGGAAGGTGTGTTCCACCTTGGTCAGGCGAACGCGATGGGCGGAGAGGGGAAGAAGAGAGACGATCAACGTTGAAAAGAGATCTTTGAAATCCTGCGCATGCGGAGTTAGCGGCAGACTATTTCGGTGGTGCAAAGCAAGTGTCTCATGGACCTCGTTTGCTTGCTCAAGACCATGCTAACCTTTGTGAACGGGCGATCGTCATCCGTCATGCGCAACAGTCTCGAGGAAGTTTGATGCATCTTGTTGTCAACGCGGCTGACGCGTACGGGCAGAGGTCTGTTCGGATCGGTTTCGCTATACGGTTGTGAAGGGGGATTGGGATCCCGAGGCACTAGCGAGGAGGCCAAGTGCCTTTCGTCCTCGGGGGAAGACCTGGAAGCGGACCTGGAGCGGGAGGACTTGTCCGGGCCGGGCAGCAGAGGACCGCCAACGGGGGACTCGGGGCCGGCGGAAAGACGACCGTTTGATCGACGTGACCGGATTCTAGGCTCTCCTAAACCGGCCAAGGTTTTGTCAAGGGCGGCGGCGGCGAGTGCGAAAATGCCACCAGTGCGCTGGGAGCTAACAGACAGTGAGCTCAAGTGCGAGTGCGCCTGCTGTCGGGTTTGGGAGCCTGAAACCGCCGGGTGTGGGGGCTTGGCAACGGGATCGCGGACAGAATTCGACTTGGCCTTTGCGATTGTGTTGCCGGCGAGAGCGGAGACGGTGGTGGAGGAGGAGGAGGAGGAGGAGGAGTGGGAGGAGGGGGTATTTGAAGCGGTTCCCGAGGTTCCTGTTGCTGGTGCGCTGCCGGTGTTTGCGCTACTGCTAATAGTGCTGATGCTGGAGCTGGCACTCCTGGATTTACTGCTGTTGACGGTGCTACCTGTGCTTCGGTTGCCTGCTTGCAATGCGACTACTGGTGAGGAGGAATCAGAGTTGGTTGAGCGGGACGACGACGAGCCTGCGGCCATCTAACAGCGAGCGGGTTAGTTTGTTGATGTAACAGAAGAGTGGGCGTGCCTGGTCGGGGATGGGCAAGCGTCGGTTCAAATAAAAGAGGGATGGTCGGCCACGGCAGCCGACTGGTCAGAGCTGTCCAGTGCTTGCTGCTCAATGGGACGGATGCCGGGCTCAAATGCTACTGGAAGCACCGAACCAGCCAGGGCATCTTCAGTGGGGCGTATGCGATGTGGAGCAGGTACGGTGGGTGCAGCGCTGCAGAGCGACCTAGTGCAGACTGCAGCAGGCTGCGAGTGCAGACGGGGTGGGTTCAGTGGACCGGTCCTGGTGCAGACTGGCGCAAGGCCGGCGCACCTAGTCCAGTGTCGGGTACGGTGGGCGGGAGTGACAAGGGGGCACTGGGACACACAAAGAAGGAGACTCTCCTCCGAAAAGGCAATTCCATCGACAAGGCACGACGAGGCCACGAGCACTGCGCTAGCAGCAGCTAGAAACCAAAGTGGCCCCGAGTGGATGCTCTCTTTCTCTCTCTCTCTCTTTTCAAACCTGCGACACACCCACTCTTTGCACACCACTTGCTCGCAAGCCAGCACCCAAGCTAGGATGCCAGCGGGCCTTGGGCTTGCCAGGAGCTCACGATGACCAGGGGCATGCCCGTCATTCTTAGAGGACAAGGGCAGTGATCCCAGCCTGAGCTTCTCCCAAAAAAAGCCACACCCTCCCAAACAATAAACCAAAGAGGGGGAGAAAAAAATGAAATAAATAAATAAATAAAAGATAAAAAATATCAAAAGCCCCCTCCAGGGAAGAGCCACTGAGGGAGATGATCGGTGAGAGGGTAAGGTAGGGACGCCGTGGTATCAAGACGGCTGATGGACGGGACCATTGTAAAATTCAGGTGGATCGTGGATGCCACCACCAAGTGAGCACGGCATAAACCCAGGCTCGCTCCCAGCCAGCCTGCGGGCCTGACAAAGAGCCGGGGAAAGAAATGACTGAAAAAAAAGATACAGGAAGCAACGGTTGAGGAACACACCTACCTTTCCGCCAATTCCCCCAGACTGATGGACCACGCCCTCGTGCGACATCTCTGAACCTGTCTCGCCTGTCACTTGCCGTTGGACGAAATCTCGCCGCAGCCTGCGTCTGCTATTGTGCGAGCGAACCGTGTATGAAGGCCCAGAAGCACACGCGAGGACCACCCAAAAGTTTGCGTGAAAGGACGACGGCGACAGAAGGAGTCTGAAGTACCTTGCACGACCGCACCGATCACCTAAGAGACAGGCGCACCCGCTGCTTCGGTGTTGTGATGAGCGAACCCCTTGGGCGAGGGAATCAGGCGGCGGAATCTGAGCTCCTGTCACGAAAATCACACTCAGCAGCTTGCGGTTGGAAAAAAAAAAAAGGGTCGGAACGTCCGTCGTCGCGGTCTGGGGCTTTCTGAAAATAGAAGGCCTGCGCAAAATAACCGCGGAGCGAAATGGCGTGCGATGGGTGATGAGTTGGCCGGGCTTGGTTACGCAAGGACGCTTTTCTTTCTCCGTCTTCCCCTTGGAAGATTGCAAGGCAGCGAGGTGTAGATTTTTTTGAAACAAGAAAGTAGGCAAAGCGCCCTGGAGCAATAAGAGCCTTGTGTGAAGCCGAGGGATTGAAAACAAATGTGCAATGTCGAGATGGACGTGGCCGGGTGTCACAATTGTGAGGTTGCTATCACAGCAACGGCAACTTTATCAACGCAGGTCGACGCAGGCGTCCTGTCGGCCGCAATTGAGGGGGGGGCAAGTACAAAGTACACCGGGGTTTGTTGCACACACACAATGAGAAGGTAACAGCGAGAAAGTGGTCAAACGTTTCTGCTCAATCCCTAGTACATACACTACAAAAGATCGTAATGGTAAATATTTACTACTGGAACTCAGCGTCATGATGACAGAAACCCAGCAAAGATGAAAAATTGAAAATGAAGCCGCCCGCCCTCCGTCCCGTCTGTTCATGGTCCAGTTTGCGGCTTCCGCATTGGCGGATCGTGTCGCGTGGCAATGGCATGGCTGCAAGGTAAGGTATGCAGCCGAGATGCCAAAGGGTCACTGCGACTCTCTTCTCGTCTGATCGTGTTTTTTTTATGGAAACCAAACTGGCCAAACTACCCCGTTACAGAACTGCACGTGTCTCAAGGTTCAAGCGGTAAATATGTATTCGGTTCAGTGCCAGACCATCATCGTCTTTTTTTGACTTGGCGCTTTTGCCTGCCCATTTGGTGTTGTTTGTCTCGGCATTCTCAAACGGCGATGCGACGCAGACACTGGCACGCAGTCAAGTGGGATGGAGTCTCGTCTGTACTCTTTTGGTGGTGAGTTTCTTTCCCACTGCAGTATGTAGACGCTACTGCACATTTGGCTCCGTAAAACCCACACAGAGTCCCTGCTCGCTTGCAAGATAACCATGCGCTTGGTGTCGTAAGAACCGTGGACCGGACCGGAGACTCGGAGAATAGACTGTGGGAGATGGGATCGTCACACTATGTACTTCCACGCCTCCCCATGTTGCCGGGCTGCTGTACTTTTCTACAGCCAGCACGCCAAAACCTAAGTACCAAGTACTTTTCCAGGTTTTTCTTTTAACTACTGCATCAACTTTACCACAACCCGATATAAGCCTCGTCCAGACAAAAAGCCCCCTTTTGGGCGTGCTGATTTCACTCGCCCAGTCCGTTTTTGGATACAATCAATATTCGTCAAGTTGTGATGAAAGCAACAAAGGCAAGCGACTTTGGATTGGGCGCCAAGAGAGACAGCTGGCGCGGGCAGGATGGAGATAGGTACATGAATATTGTCTTCCGTCTGCATGATCGATACCCTTGAATGCGATCGGTAGCGGCCCCTTGCAACAGTCAGATATGGGTGCATTGAGGTTGGACACAGACCGAACATCTGCACAGCTTCTTCCATGAGTGAAGCCGGGAAAGGCTGGGTACGGAGAGATTGGCAAGAAACACACAGATCTTTCCCGAGCCGAAAAACGGCGGTCAGCATTGCGACGATGGGATTTCCCTGAATGCTGATGAGTGGTGAGCCTTGCAACACGAAGCGTTTGTGGTAAAAAAAAATCTGATTGGGGAACTGGCGAAATCTTCAGGACGTTCGTTACAGGGTGCAAGATCTGCGCGTGGCTTCAGGGATCTTTTGCAAACCACGCCATGTGTGCTGCTGCTTCAGATGAGAGGTCTTGCAGGAACTAGTAGTTAGTACTGTGCAATATACGGAGCACGCCGAGAACTGACCCACTACTAACTGCACGCCCAGGTCTAATGGGCAACCGTACCTCATTTTCTCCTCGGCATCATTAGCCCGTTCCTCACTTTCCAAAGGCCTTCTTCGTTGGAAAAGCGACTGGAACGTCCCATTTCATAACTTGAAATGCCACTCAATCAATGACTGTTATCCCGCCCGCCACAATGTTTCCGCCGTGTTGGCTTTTCATTGTTCCACTTTGTGATTGTGTTGTCGCCTATGCGCTACGCAGTATACCTCAGCATGCATCGCTGGCCCAGTCGCATGGGTAGACTCTCGCATAACGCAACGTACGGATATCAGTTGCTCGTTGCTTCACACGAAACGTGATGTCTTAACAGCATTGATTGATGCCTTGCTTGCTTTCGTTACTGATCTCGCGAGAAAACGGGCAAATGATTCGATGAAAACCGCCCGGCAATGTCAGGTCTCATCTATTATGTGACCACTTACGTAAACCACAGGACCACGATCAACCTTTAAGGAACCACTCAGCTCACGTTTCGCATTAACATCTCACACACGTCTCTTCGCTGGAAAAACGACAATCATAACGGAGTGCCATGGTGGAAACGGTGTGCCAAAGGAGCCAGATAAGAGAGTGGCTACAGCGTAAGTGTAATACATGCTGCATAGCACGCAGTAGTGTACTATGTAGTGTACTTGTAGAGGGCGGACCTGTGCCAGTAGTGAACTCTGCGCAAAATTTGTGGGCTCTGCGAAATTCTGTAATGTCGTAATCATGAATTTGTCGATGGTTTTTAGCTGGGTGCAAGGCACATCCCAGTTTAGCAAGCCACATGCCTCTGCTTTGATTTGCTTCAATCGCGTCAATTCCCGCTCAGATCAGTTGAACAAACGGTGGGGAAAGGGCTTGCGCCATCGATACCGTTAGAACGAAAAGAACGTCTGTTTTTCTCACTTCTTAAAACCCGTCTGAGCCCATCTTACTTGAGAATATCACATCCTTCGCCTTTTGGTCCTTTTCCTTTTTGATCTACATTGTGCGACGTGAGTCTGGACAAGTCAGGGTTTTGGATAATGTCTGCGTAGTAGGTAGGCCGTCGGAAAAGGCTGGACGGCGGCAGCGCCTCCACGTGTGCAGAAGCATGCTGTCAACCGAACTTGGAAAAGGTTGATCTCACACACACCACACTGCATGGCGCTGAAACTCACGTGGAAAAGTGCTCACAGCACGTGGGAATCATCCCGAAAATAAGACGCCTCAGACTTTGGCAGCCAATGACCATTTGCAGTGCCTTCTGCAACAACAAAGACAACACATTGGTGCGGTAAACAGGGGCTGGGCACAGGTTATGCAGCCGGCCAAGCGTGCTAAGAAAAGTACAGCATGAGATGGAATTTCTCCTTGCCGCCAATAACCTACCGTGATTACCTCTAGGACCATTATGCGGCATGAATCTCGCCATGCAATGTGCTGCAAGGTTCCAAGTTTCAGTCCGACTACGCGTCGGGCGGTTTACATACAGAGCATACCCAACACAGGCGTACATAGCTCTTAATTGCTCAATGGTTCGAAGCATGTTGCCGGATTCATTGCGATCTTGTACTGCATGTGCTTATCTCTGCTTAACACGCACGTGGATGAGTGCGGGCGGCTGCAATCTGTCCGCGACACAGCTAACGAGGTGGTATCAGGAGAAGCGGGGTCACCGTCAAAGAAAAAAAAAGGGTTCTGAGTGTACTTTGATCGTATCATCGGTGTGGAGAGATGGCGGGAGCTATATCACTGCTGTTAAGATCGGGATACTGTATGTACCTTGTGGTGCTGTCTCGTATCAGCAGTATTGACGATTTGGCGGCAAGGTAAATACCGACGTGACGAACACAAGAACCCAACGACTGCTCAAGACCTCGGGCGGTAAAGAGGATCCCATGTTCAGGGTCAAAACTATAATTAACCCGCCCAGGAAGAGAAAGATTTCAAAACATCCAACGGTAGACAGGGGTTTCCCTTTTTTCTCAGGTAGCTCTCAAATGGGAAAGGACCAAGAAGTCTGCTTCTGGCTCCACAAACTTGGAGGTTGGGCAGTCTCACAATTTTGGCGTGCCATTTCTTTGCTGCTTCTTTGCACCGCTTTCTTCCACATCTCAGCCGGCCCATATAATGAGTACCTAGGTATCCACCGTTTAGCGAGTTTATTGACGAGCCTCTTCCCTTTTCCTGCGTTGCCTACATGAAGGGACTGACTCTGGTGATCCTCAAGAACACCGCCAACACAGTTGCGCAGGTGAGCGAGCATTGCATTGTCGTGAGTCGGCCACAAAAAGATTAATAATCAGAGTTGCAATTTGGCCCATCTCACTACGATTGGGTGCTGCCGGGCCTGGTGCTGCCCGGGGGGGGGGGGGTGATGTCAAGAGAAACTTGCCCGCTGCGGGCCCATGGGCCAACCAACCTGCCATTCCATTTCTGTCCACCCTGTCATGCCATGCCATTGCTGCCGCCGTCCCTGGCCAGCCATTCTTGCTCTGTTTCTAGAAGCTCAACCATCTTCCATGGCCCCACATGTCAAGATTGCACCCGATTTGCCAGGGCGACAAGAAGCCATGGCCGTTCTCGGACGAGGTATGTACTATAGTGTAAACTTTGACAGGGGACGTTGGGGCCTGTCGCTCATTGCGAGTTGACAGCGCTCGGGACGATCCCTCTATCCAGTCCAGATCGGATGGAAAACTGAACAGATGAGACGAACAGAGGCCTTCCGAACGATCGGGCACATGGCAAGCCGCCGCTCAAAAGGGGCAGTTGACATACGACCACGTGGAACCGGATGGAGTGCTTGCTCCGAATCCCAGCCTTAATCCCGCGAGCCTCCGACCCTGAAAGCATGCCGGCTCCGTGAAACAGCACGTCACATGGTTGTTGGTGTCCGCTTCCACTATTACATACCTCCCTATCCGTCTTGGCCTTCCAGACAAGTCCACACGTGTACCATATAGTCTTGGTCTTGGTAACACACAAAAATCATCATGCGGTTCAACCTTCGATGGGTGTACATATCTTGACGGATTGGTGCGAAACTTGCCACCCCCTGAGGGCAAAATGCAACTGTAACCACGCTATATGTAGCACGGACCTTTGCAAGCAAGCACCTGGGACAGAAACTGCAATTGAAAAGCCTGGACGCGTACCCGGACTCAATGGTGTTGGTAGCCCTGCTACACTTCCGGACACAATGAGAGAAGCCGAATGCCGCTCAAGACCACCACCGTACGCCCGCGACACTCGGTATCGCGAACTCGGGATGTTGATCACTGGCTGGTCATGATGAGATAGACCGGCATCGTCACGGCGTTTTTCTTTTTTTCTTTTTTTTTTTTCTTTTTTTTGTTTCTCTGGGCTCTCCCAGGTTCGCGATGTTTGCGCAAACGGACCGCTGCGAGAACCAACCTCACAGCCTCGGACTCGCTGGCTAGCCGTTTCAAAATGTTGGACCGGTGAAAAGTCCGACGATTCGCCTGCGATCCAGTAGTACACCATACAAGCCGACGAACCGAGTTGTCTATTATGCAGTGGGTCCTGGCAAGGAATCATCCAAGCAAACCTCAGCTACGTAGTGTATGTACGAGTCTCGGCGGTAAGAAAAAAAATATCTTTCCAAAAAAGAAAAATTCCAAAGTTCAAACGGCACTTCCGCTTCCCGACTTCCTCGGACCTGAAACAAAAATTTTGCTTCCCTTCCCACCATCCCCCCCTTCACTTTTTTTTCTTTCTTCTTCTTTTTTTTTTTTTTTTTTTTTTTTTTTTTTTTTTTTTCTCCCTGCATCGCACGTGGCGGGGTGGCGTGTTCTTGACGGTTCCAGAACTTCGGGTGCTACCGCTACACGTGGGATGGCTGGGCTAGGCAAGCAAGCGAGAACCTCCTCGGGTCTCTGTCAACGCGCAAAGAGGTTACGGTAGCCTGGTTTGGGTTGAATCTATGACAGTATACGGTCTACTTGGCGACAGAAGCGGTCATGGATACGAACAGGTCTGGTCTGAATAGCTCGTCCAGTTGGTTGGCGCAAGAGCCACAGTTGGCTTCAGACTACAGACAGCGATCATGATGGTTTATCATTACCTCTAGTGCTTACACCTCCACTCTTCTACTGATAGGATAGTAGCCTAGTCATGGCTATCAAGTCATTGAACTTCAGCCAGTCGTGAAGAGAAATCCGAAAACTTACTGATACTATGGTACGCCTCCCCTTTTATTCAAGATAGTGGCGCGGCGCGGCTTGTGCCATGGCTACGGAATGTTCATCTATTGGGTTTCAGACACGGCGCAGATGTGATGCATAGCTGAGGCCTTGGCTGAGCACAACAAGTCAGAAATGACCAAGAAAAGATGTGACGGGTCATATCTCGTTTCATGGTAATCAGGCAGGTTCGGCCTGCCTGCTTCGCCCGTGTGTCGAACGAGATGGATCCACTGCCCTGATTCATTGACCGTCAAAAAAGAAGCTGCGCCGTTTCGGGACAATCCTTTCTGCAATCAAGGCGATTCAGGCAGATTGCACTTCGTCCCGTCAGGAAGACGGCGTTATCTCGCCTTCTCGACAGGTCTCCATGGACGGCGATGACTCGCTTTCCAATGACGCTCCCGGCGATCTTTGCCGAAAAGATAGACAGTGTCCAGAGACAGTGATGCGTCACGCAGTTAGGAGCGGTGTAAGTCCACCGACTACCGGTGAACCGGTCTCCCGGTCTCTCCTCGTGAATGCTCGGTCGTGTGGCATTTTAAACAGTCGATAGGCCGTTACACCTTCAACCACGTGCCAAGGCCCGCCGGTTGCATTGGAATGGAAAACTCAGCGCAACACTTTTATCTTGCCTTTCACAACCGTCGACATTCAGTGTCTTATCCAAGATTCAACTGACAGTGTTTCTCTTTCAACTTCCCGGTTCCTCGGAAGTTGTGGGATCAAGCACAAATGCGGCGAATCCAGAGACAGGTTGATGCCTGGACACGCGACGAAAGTATGCGTAGTGTAGTTGGTGAAGATATACATAGAAATGTAATGGGAAGGCCGAGCACGCCGGCCGATCCCGAAGCCGAGAGGATCCGGGTATCTCCCCAAAAAGAAACCCCCCCAAAAAAAGTCAAGAAACAAAAGATAATGAAGAATAGGATAAAACGTTGAAAAGTTATCAAAATAAGTAAAAAAAAAAAATTAAATAAAAAAAAAAAATTTAAATAAAAAAAATAATAAAAAAAAAAAAAAATTTATTTTAAAATTGGTAGAATAAAAATAGGGATCTAAAAAGAGAAAAAGAAAACAAACAAGAAGATGTAAAATGAAGTAACTAGCAAGCGAACAACGTTACGAACTGGGATCAATTATATGGCCTTAATTAGGGTCGGGAATTCCCTTGTCGCGTGGGAGTGTCCAGGTTCATGCCATGCCTTGTCCCAATTTATCCTCTAAGCCAACCAGGCAAGAAGCCGCCGACCGGCAGATGATAAGTCAGGGGTCTTACTGAGGATGGCTTGGGCTGCGTTACTTGGCCATGTTGTGCTTCACCAAAACCAGTGTGAGAAACGTGGGCAGTGAGTAGAGAGGGGATATGATCGGTAAGGAACCTGACTGGTCAAGATGAAATGTTTATGAAGCTCAGCTCAATACTTCGACAGATATCACACTTGCTATTCTCGGACCCTGACCGTTACTCTTCACGCTTGAAGGGTAGACGGACGGAAAGAGATCAGAAAGTCATTGCTCAAACCAATTGACTGAACATACTAACATTTGTAAATTTATTGTATGTGGCTAACTGATCTCCTTTGCCTATCTACCCACCCCCATCTCTTCTGGGTCATCTGGTCAAGAATGCTCTGAGCTGATGGCCTCCAAAATCAAAAGTGTCGTGATCAATCTGAATGTCATCGATGTCTCTGACGTACGCTATAAAGGAAGAGGTCGTAATGACCTCAGGATTCTCAATTACCCTCGAACATTTGTCCCCTTAAAATCCAGTATCCTTGTCCAGTGCCGATGATGACCACAGGCATGACCAGAAACTCGGATATAACAATTGTTGCTATTACGCCAATCTCTCCTATAAGAGACACTTAAATGAATCATGCACAAGACTCACTACACGTAGGCTAACACTTGACTGCAATGCAACTAATACGGAAGACAGGCGCCGGTAACCCACGACATCTGCACTGACAGTCCAGGTGCCTATGTATGAACCACTACCAACCGATATTTGACGGACGGACGGACGGGCGATGTTTTCATGAACAGTCAGACAGTGCCCACCTGGATAATTACCTTGTATCACCGTAGGTAATCACCCCAGCCTCCTCCTGTCACAGGAGCGGCGTAACGAAAGCAGCTAGTAACAACACCAACACCATTAATACATGCTGGTGATGTTATGTGAATGTCTGGTACTATAAGCATTAAACATATGTAATCAAACTTACAAGCAGATAGGTTAATCAAAGAATCAACCTGATGGTCGGGGAGCCGAGATCTGTCCTTTTCCACGTTGGCATCCATGACTTTTTTTCTTTTTTTTTATCTTTATTTTTCCTTTTTTTCCCTTTTATTTCTCTCTTTTTATTTTTTTTTTTATTTTTTTCTTTCTTTTTTTTCTTTTTCCTCAACGTAATGTTTCGAACGCCATCATCAGGTACATACTATCTGCCTTGTTCGTACTAACATTTACACCCTTCAGCTTCCACAAGAACAGAGTGTACCTGTAGATAGTCGGTCTTGCTTTCTTCGGACTGTATTCATACAACTAAATGACAGGCCTACTAGTTAGGCTGCTAGTAGCATGACACCTCCCAGGCGCCATGGGGCTTTATCCTTAAAGGCCACACGAACATCATACGACCGGCAAGCAACCAACCGCTACCGACTGACACGGTTGCCGCCCGCTGCAGGGGCGGGTGGAGAGAGCGATGGTCGGTAATCCAGCACGTAGAGGTAGTCAGTGAATCTGTGCAGGTAGCCATTCATCTTGGTGTAACTTGATCATGGATTGATGTTACTAAGGAATTTTACATGCAGGTAGGTATGAACCGAAACCAAACAACTTATAAACGGAACAAAACAGAACAGAAAGATGGAAGCGAAGACAACATTGTTTCGTATACCTACACTACGATATCTAGCAGGGTAAGTCAAAGTCGTAGGTATGCCCCTGCCCTCTTTAATTTCCTGTCACTTGTTCTCGTCTTGCTTCTTCTTCTTTTCTTTTCTTCTTCTTCGTCTTCTCCTTTATCTGGACAGGTGTCAGGTAGGTACCTCTACTCACCTGCCGTCTGCGATCGAGATTCCATACTACAAAACGGACGGAGGCACCCAGTCTCTGATCCCGGAATACACACATTGTTGGAAGATACCCCTGAACAGGGCAGGATTTTCGGTGAAAGGGGCAGATATCATCTCTCTGTCTCTTGTAACTCGCGCGAGTCGTGAGACGACAATGACTAAGGTACCTATAGGGACGGGTGTCTGCATAGCCGGGATGCGAGTACGAAATGGAACGAAATACTTATGAACCATCTCCATTGATTTAGTTGGGAGTACCACTACTATCCCCACTTATTTGACGCTTGGGTGGGACCTCGCTAGGTGGGTGACGTCTCGCTCTGTGTCTCTCCTCGGTTCGGTTACGGTGAGGAAGGGACGTTTTGGATTGCGGTGAGGAAAGAATCTTCGGTGAGGATTAAGGTTGAAGCAACCTAATTAGAGGCGGTAAGCATCCCTTGACGCTGTTTGAACAAGTGTCAGGACATGTGCTGATCGAACAATGCATCAACCAAGAGGGTATCGTAATGTCGACCGCTATGTCGAACCCCAATACCAGTTTTGGTAAACCCAGCAAGCTGTTAATTATTTCTGATCTGGAAAGCCACAACGGTGAGCCACCTAGAGGTACAAACCTCAGGCCATATTGGGCAGTGGAACATGGAATTTCATTTGGATCGCGATGACCAAGGAACTCTTTCTGAGGTTTCAGTAGATGTAGAAACCCGCAGAAAGTTTGAGCGGCTTCGAAGGTAGTGGACTAGCTCGTGAGTTGACTACTATGGACTCACCTAGACCCAACAACCCCTTCAGAACCCTCCTTCTTTCCTGCCTGTCAGAAGGCCATGAATCAAAACCACATGTTTTCGAGTAGTACAATGATGGTGTCGCACTTGAGCACGCACACATTCATCTAGCCTAACCCTACCATAACACGAGCCAGTAAGACAAGACAAGAAAAGACAAGACAGGGCACTTCGGTGTCATCAAAGGTCATTGTGAGAGACAGCTGATGACGCGCAATTTAGCCCATGGGCCAGTACAAAACAAAGGACAGAGGGAGATACATCATCGCACAGTGTACAGCGTGCAGATTTTCACACGAGACACATGAGACTCGACAAGACCGCTTTCGCTGTTGATTAATAGACAAGTTGAACAACACTGGACGACCGGTTGCACTTTAGAGCGGAATGATGGAAAATGTGAATGAACAGAACACGGCGGTGATAAAAAGAAAAAAATTAAAAACAGAGGAGAATGAGTGTTTGAGTCAGGCGGGCAAGCAACTGCTGAGCCTTTAACAGAACTACTCACGTGCGACTGCCGCAACAAATAAAAGGAGGAAAATCAAAGGCCGAGCTTACGTATACAAGGGATTCTAACCACTTGTCAAGGGAGCATACTACAGTTAGCGGCATGTAATGCCCATCTCTCAAACTGTACTTCACTTGTCTCGGCCGTAAACGTGGATTAGTGGGCGGCACGACTACATTCCACTTCCCAAACGTTTAATATACGAAGTACTGTTCAGCGGAGTAGATGGTCGTCTTGATGCAATTGAAGGCATCTCACGCAATAGTATACCAATTGTGATTGATAGATTCACCACTTGAACTTGTGAACGCACGTAGTAGAAGCACTGCTGACCAGTGTCTTCAACGGAGTCGACAAGTTTAGCACAGAGATCCGATGGAAGACATTGGATGGTGGCAGGAAATTTAAGGCGTGAACTAATGGGGAGTGCGGTAGGACATAGGAAGAAACCATGAACACTATGAATGGTATTGCGCGTGGATAAGACGGTGAGGGAAAACAGCGTACCTAGAAGACGAATGTGAATGAGGAACTCAGGATGTCCGTATACTTGCCGTATACTTACACCACCAAGCGTGACTCAAGTTATGATAAAGAAGAGGTGATGTGCTGGCTCCGCCGTTTCTGATGGCGTGTAATTTTGTTTCGCTTACTCGTCCAAGCGCGTGTCTGTATATGTACGAAGATTGGAGCTTTGAAGAGTCAACAAAAGCTAGCAAAATGGGTGTCTCTTGATCAAATTTTCCTAACTGTAACTCCGCATAGGCCCGCCAATTTCCTCTCTTCTCCAGAGACAAGAACCTCTCGAAACCCTCTCGAAAACGCCACTCGAACGCCTAAATAATGTCCTATCAATCTAATAAAGCACAGGATAGGAAGACCATATACAACGCGGCACACGCTTTAATCTATGAAATTTGGGGGGCAGAGCATTTCAGGAGGGAAGAGGCCATCATCCGGAGGGCAACGTATCCGTAACATACCGCGATGTTTGTGGGCCCAAATTGCGGAATACCTCTCCTGTCCTCCAGCTCCACGCCCGACGAAATATTACGACTGTTGTATTTAAATCGACGTCGGGGCAGCATCCTTGCGCCAGCCCTTAGAACGCATGTTCCCCTCAATAGCCTTCCAGATGCTCTCCACCACCTCCCGGTCACGCCAGCGGTTTTCTGCGCCCGCCGCCGCCGGATCGCGCACCTTGTCAACGGAGGTAGCCAGAACCCGATGACCGAACGATCGCACACTTTCAGGTGGCTGCTCGCCCCGCCAGCCGACATAGATACCTAGAACATGGCGGAACAGGTCTGTTGGTTGGCTCCAGCGGTAGTTCTTGAACTGCCACGCCTGGCCGGTTGTGAAGACAGCCACCACGCGGTTCCAGTATTCGGGCTTGAACTGCTCCGGGCCTTCGACGAGAATGAAGCGCATGGGCCGGTTAGGATCGATGTCTTTCATCATGCGCGACACGTGCAGCACCGAAATGGAGGCGTTGTGATCTGGCAGCGTGTATCTTCCGTTCTCAAGGAAGTCTCGGATGTTGGACATGCGGAGAAGTGAAGAGGCAGAGGGCGAAAGGAGAATGATGGGATCAGGTCGTCGCGCGGGCTTCTGGTTGATGGCCAGGGCAGGGTTGTTCGTGATCGCTGTAGGCCCGGGCTTCTTAGACATGAAGGCTTGCGCGAGCTTGCGAACGTGTGAGAAGTCCTGGTTGCAACGCCCGAGTTAGTTGCACTGCGATTTGCGAATCACTATCCACTTCTCTATCAAGAGGTCCAATCACTCACCGTGGGCTTGATTCCCCTGAGCACACTGTTCCGATCCCCCATGCGCCGTTCGCCGTTGTAAATCTGGGCAAGCCTAGGGTCTAGTGTTCCACGCCCAGATCTCGCAGAAACAGTAGGAGCGGCCTTGGAAGCGGCTGCCGTGCTGGCAGCTCCAGTCGCGGAAGCCCCACCTGTTTCGCCTGCCAGCGGCTTGATGTATTCGCTCTCTTCACTTCCACCTTCCAGCCAGGCGATCAGCTCAAGACGCTCGACGAAGGCGAACTTGTGGACCGCGCCGGCACCGCCCAGTTCCTCGTTGAGTTTGGTAGCGGAAGCGTTATACTCGGGAATGGCGACTTCATGGTTCAACCACGCAAAATAGATACTGCGTAGGTCGACAGGGCTGCCGTTGGAGACAAAGCGCGTCGGCGCATCGATGGGGATGGCGACACGGGCTGGGTGGGTGAACAGAAGGTGAGTGGCCTGGGAGAGCGGCACTTCGGTGCTGCTGTCGGAAGAGGTATCGGCGGATGTTGTCGGGATGATGGCACTGCTGGATGCGATTGACCCCCGCAGGAGCAATAGAGGATCGTGATCGACTGACGCCATCTTGGGATTCACGCTGGGACGCTTAGCCGACTATGTAATGGTAGGCCGTGCGGGTGGATTGGTCGATGACCTCGAGGTAGGGATGACGCGCTTGACCCGATCGCTAAGAGATGTAGCGAGTGTTCAATTGGGGGGCTGAAGTCGAGGGTCACAAAGAAGCGATGCAAAGAGCGCAGCTTGGCGAAGAAGAGCTCGAGGATGCCCAAAGCAGTTTGATCGATTGCAGGTCCGGAATGCATGTACCTTAGGTGATGGATTCACTTGACCGGCTGGTAGTCCCTAGGTGTAGGTCTCGGCGGGGACTGGACGCGGCGCGCTCCACCTCAATCCTATCTTATCGGCACAACCTGGTCCAAGGTTGCAATGAAACCGTGAAACCTCAAGACCCTAACCCTTTCACTTGTTGACAGACTCGAGGGGCTCAATAAAGGGGTAATAGTTGAAGCAACAAGTGACACGAGTGGGACAGGTTCCAATTACCTATCTTCTAGGCCTTCTCGCAACCTCAAGTTCATACTTTGTAAATAATCTGTCACGACTTACGAAACATGTGAAGATTCATCACATGACAATCTGATGCCGCATATCACGCGCGGTCATTTGCGGATATGCCTCGGTCCCTCTCCTTCCTCTCTTCCTGCTTTCCCATCAATGCCCGATCTCGTTCAATCTTTCTACCGACTCCCCTCTCGCAGCTCAATACCTTGCAGCCAATTCGGGGCTGTTCTTGGTATCTGGACTTACCGACTCGCTCGTCGTATCTCGGCTATCGTAAGCATCATCGGACAAACTGGCGCTTTTTCTCCGACCGTGATACTGGTATATCACACTTAGCATTTCTTTCATAGCGCCGGCAGATTGAACACGGCGATTCTGAAAAGACCATTCATGCGGAGTTGAACCACGTAAGCTCGCATGGAAAAACTGGCACTCACCACACAGACACCCTTCCCTTTGGACTTGTGTTTTGGGTTGGCCGGACACATTGGGCTATTCGGTAAATGTTCAGGGACGTCAAACGTGAACTGTCCCTTCTTGCGCAGGCGCCCACCTTCTCCATCACCACGGCTTCTTTTATTGGCCAAGCGTTCTGTCCGCTCTGCTCGTCTGGCTTCAGCCGATCTCGTCGGAGCGTCCCACCATTCTCTTCTCTTCTTATCAGCCGTTCCGGGTGTTGTTGGCAATGAGGATGCCCCGGGCGTTGGTGATAACCCAGATAAACCGGGCGTTGGTGGTGGTGAAAACTCACCCCTACGAGGACCTCGGTATCCCCCTTGCTCCTCTTCAGTTCTCTCCTGCGGATGGCGCAACGGCGTGGGTGGCAACGACATAGGCATCGTGGTGCCTGAGAAGTTAGTTTCCTTGCTTGAAGCAGACGACTCGGTATTATCTGCACCGATCGGTATTGAGACATTGAAGAAATATCCGCGCGGTCGTCCATCAGCTGTGTCCTCTTTCAGCGGGGGTGTGTGGATTCGTGTAGCCTCCTGTAATCTCGTCGTGAGCATATGTCCGAGTCTGTAAGGTGCGTAGCCAAAGGTTTGGTAGCAAACAAGGCACGGAATGCCTTATCAATGAGAAAGCGGATCTCCACGATGCTTAAGTTACTTACCCCTCCTGGATATTGGCTGGTAGTCCGCAGAGGTGGTATGACTAGACAAGAGTCAGATCCCATCCATAACAGCGAGCAGGGTTGTGCCAGTGATCACACCTGAGAACGCGGTCCTTGTCCCCAGTATAGAAGAGTTGCTGCTTGTAGGGGTTACTGATTCTGTCACCGCTGCAGTTCCGCCGCTTGTTGAGTGGAAGGATCTTCTTTCAGACCATGCGCGCCTCGGAAACCTGATGTAACTCTGTCTAGAAGCCCTTCGGCTTTCTTCCTTTTCCGGAGTCCGTTTCATCTCCTGCTCGTCACTGTTTCCCCTGCTATGCGTGATAGAGCTATCATTCGATGAATATATCACAGGGTCGGAGCGCCGTTCACTTGCTGGTCCTGATCCAGAGTATTTCTTTGCTTTCTATCGCGTTCGATCAACGTCAGCATAAATTTGATTGTATAATTTGCACTTGAAAACCTACGTCCTTTGTTTTCTGCAAGACAGACATTGCGCTGATTCCTGTCTTGGAGAGAAACCCAAAAGTCTCTCGGGACTCGGAAGGGATATCAGGGCTGACTTCAGCAGGTGGTGATAGATCTAATGACGTAGGAGTTTGGAAGCTATGTTTTGGTGCGAGCCACTCGCTTTCCACAAGGCTGGTGCTGGTCAATAGATGTACACCTGGGCTTTGTAAAGCAAGGATATGAGCCTCCTCGGTACGAAAGGGGCTATGTGGGGAGGTAGGCGTATTGTTTGACGTCGATAGTTGCTGTTGTGGTTGGTTCGTCTTTGGTGAAGCTCTAGACGCGTCATTGTCGTGGCTTCCGCTTCCAGTCTTCCTAGACCGTCTTCTCCATTTCCAAACTTTGGCCTCAGGGGTTCTGCTACTGGCTGCAGCGAAATCAATCGGTCGAAACTTGCGCTCGGCCCAGTACCCCTCCGGATACCAAACCCATTCATATCCTTCTTTGGGTGGCCGAGGGGGGTCAAGGTCGTACACTCCTCGAAGAGAATTGTCTTTGGAGTTTCGAACCGATGCGCCGCTGATCGATGGCACCCTGCTCAACGACCCATCCAACACTGCGCCACCGAGGCTAGGTAAAGAGCTTCTCCTCCGTTCCTCGCCTTGATACCAAGGCGACGACGAGAGGCTCATTGCAAGTGAATTGAACCGCCTTGAAAGTGTGGCCACCCGACCGATGGGTTCTGAAGGTTGGACAATGCGTTGTCGTGCTGCTGTACTGATGTAATCGCTGTTTATCTGCCCAACGGGGGAAAGTACTATATTGAGGTTGAGGTGGTGTCGGGATTCTTAGGCGAAGCGCCAGAGTGCGGCGCCGAAATTCATGATCTTGCGGAAATACTGAGTAGAACTTGGTGTCTCGGGGTAAGAAAGCAATCTCAAGAATAAATAGGGAAACGAGAGGGGTGGAGTGCGTAGAATGTTCGGGTTGACCGGGTGTTAGGACGAGAACAGTAGAAACTCGTATGGTAAAAGTACCTAATACGGGATGATGCCGTCAGATACACGAGATATCGGAGTAGGCGAGAGCTACATTGCCTCCTTCCTCTTTACACTGTTCTCTCAGGATTCAGACAACGTGGCAGAGGATCGCGGTTGCCTTGGAATTGGAAAAATGGGAGAAGGGCATTCCAAGCCAGATTGACGCAACAAAGAAGTCAAAAGGCAGCTTCCTTCACATAACTGAAAATGATTATTCCAAGGCTCCTCGACAATTCCTGTTGCTGTACCGGGTATCTTGAATTTATAACTTTGCGCACTAAAGCATTACAGGTCGTCAACAATTATGTTGCTGGTTGGTCAGCACCACTAAGATACAAAGGGTAGTACATGGTGACTGACTTGGCATAGCCGCTTCCTCTTCAAGCGGCGTGATGAGTAGCCACTGTCGAGGCGTGACATAGTATTATCAAAGGGGTCAGTGTCTAAGGACTGTCCCAAGCCACCAAGGTCACTGAACAACACAACTCCCATCTCTATGCGCGTACCAGGTAAAAATGAGCCACATGTCCTCGTTGCATACCAAGGGTTCATCGTCTATAAGTCATTACTGGATCACCGATGTTTGTTCAAGCGTCCAGCATCGTGTCATCGCCATCAAATCCGGGTTGCACGACAGGGACACCACCTCCGCGACCTGCGAGAAGTTCTCGCCTGATCTCGGGCGAAATCTTGTCATGGCCGTGAGTTAGGAGAAGATCCAGAAGAGCCTCTCGCTGGTCCTCAGTAACTACACAAAAACCGCGGTTAGTATTCAAAAATAATAGGAACGCATAGTGAAACAGCGACGGAAGAAGGAAACTCACTGTTCGTCTTGTATCTCTGTGCAAATGAGAGCATGCACTGATGGAAGATGACTGGTAAAGCGTTCGGTGCCATATGCCCGCCGGTGGCGAAAGCGGGATACCGAAGAAAGTGGAACACGAGGGCATCGAGCGCTTGGAAGGCTGTATTACAAAGTCAGAGAATATAATCATTGGCACGCTAGGAATTGGACTTACGCAAGGCGTGACGTTTCTCAATCAGAGTCTTGAGGAGGAAATTTGTAGCGCTAACGCAGTCGAGGCGCTGAGAAGCCTGCGCAGAAGAAATTTCGCACAGGCCCTTAATGGCCATACCGGAATGAACGGCCGGAATAGTGACCCGGGTCAAAACACCGGCTACGATCTGCGCCTCACGCAGCGAGCACGTTCCGGAAGCCGCCAAAGGAAACAAGAAGCCTGCCAACGGTTAGCTGGGTTGCCCCTTTTGTGCAAAACTGACTAAGCGTAGGCAGTAAATAACACACCTTTGAAGAAACCACCAGGCTTGTAGAGGGCCTTTTTGAGGGAGTTGAAAAGATGGACATTGAGCTTCTTGGTCTCGTGAATGTCCTCGCGGACGCGTTCCAAGATCACCATCTCCATAAACCGTTGAAGAACAGCCTCCTTGGCGGACGCAAATATCCTAGTGGCCGCGTAGCTAACAATCGCAAATGTCAGCAGCGTTTCCCTGGGCTACCGAAAACAGGAAGAAGCAACCATACCAGGCATTGGGAGTCCAGGACTCGGGTTGTGTAATGGGCAAGATGTCCTCCCAGTGGGGGATCTGAGGAAGGACTTTGAATGGCTTGGGAAGCGGCCCAGATTTGTAGCGAGACAGAATCATGCCAATTCTGCGAGAAGGAGTCCGTCAGTAGTCTGCCAAGAGGGTAACAGAAATAGCGGCCAGCCTACTTCTCAAACACTTCCATCACCTTGGGGGGGATCTCGTAATCCTCATCAATTGGGCCAGGCTCGTCGCGGTACCCGCCTTGGGGACCGCCGGCTTCCTTCTCTGCGATCTTGGCAAGAATAAGGTCCGCCAGGTTCACGCTCTGTCCCTGCTCTTCTGCCCCTTCTGGCTTTCCATCCCATCCGTGTGTTAGGAGCGGGTCCTCGTTCATTGTGGGTGTGATAAACTGGTTGAATGTCTCAAGATCGGTGGCGTCGACTTCGATTTCCTCTACCTCCTCCTCCTCTTCCTCGCCCCAGGCCTCGTCGTTCTCAAACTTGTCGTCTTCGTCATCGTTGCGGTCGAATCTCGATGGATCGAACTCGAACGCCGAAGGAGCAGATCCGGAGGCTGCGTTTTGTGTTGTCCGGAGGTTCTCCTCCTCCTCGATGAGGCTACGGCTCATAGCCAAAATGTTGCGCGAAGCCTTGGCGTCGACATACTTCTGCTCATCTTCGTCGTTGTCGGCGCGAGTGTTCTTGCTCTTTTTGCCGGAGTTGTTCTTAAGGACGCCGGTCGAAACCAGGTCGGCCTCGAGAGGGTTGTGGCGCCTCTTCGACGTCGCCGCTGTTGTCTTGGGCATCTTGGATGGCGGTAGGGTTGTGCAATCGGGGGAAGAATTGATGATACGGAGCTCTCCTGGTTGTCCCCTCTCTTTGCGATGTCGACTTGGCTGCACACGGCAATTGGGGATATTTTTTTCGGCGACCCTTGGACAATTTGTTCCCGCCGTGGAGAAGTCTGGGCACTTTGAAAGGCTTGCGCTACGCTTGTGGTTGGTCACTTCTTTGCTGTGTGGGCACACTTTATTTTCTGATGCCAGGGCGGTGAAAATGATAAGCGGTACAGTACCTGTTATCGCTTATCGTCTAGCTTGGACGCCCCGGGCGGAGCAGCGATAAACATTTTATTGCCCCGCATTTTCGTCACTGTGCCCCTCTTCGGTTGCAAATTGGAATTTTGTTCCCTGTGTTTACAGTTTTTGCAGCTTTGGCCCACTGCATGAATAAGAGCAAGGGAAGTCGCGACATCATAGCCTCGCTCGCCACGGTTACGAGCTCATACTAGCAAGTCCAATACAACCATACATCCAGCTACAATTGATAACATGCCGACCGAACTTGAAGAGGTAGGGTAATTCTGCCAGAACCAGTGCAGTGTCAATGTCAGTGGACAGACAGCTAATCGCTATAATCGCTTGAAGCTCGTGGGCTTCATTGCCTCGCCGAACGCCAACATCCGCCTTCTCGCGACAGAGAACCTGGTGCCCTTCTCAGCGTCTCAGCCCGCCCTCTTCAAGACCGACGAGCTCACCCCCATCAAGCATCTCAAGTTCTTGATCCGCGACCACCCGGTAGGCCCAACAGACTTGTCTTGTTTGCGCCCAAGCAGCTTCAGCTAAGACGTCGGTACCATGTGCAGAAAATCGCCGAGCACGCCCTAACATGCTTGATCAACTTGACTGCCGAGAAGGATGTGCTGGAATACGTCGCGACCGATGATCGCTTCCTTGGAATCCTACTCGGGCTTCTTGTCGTATGTGTATCCATTCTGAGCTCCTACGGTGCGTGCGCAGCAAGGACTAACCCCTTCGATCCCGTTCCTATAGGAGCCCGATGAGGTTAACGCCAATCTTATGGCTATGTTGCTGGCAAACTTAACCAAGTGGGATGGACTCAAAAGTCTTCTAGACCGGAAACAGCCCGCTCCGGAGAAGCTCAAGTCCGACGATAGGGTCATTAACCAACTAATGGACCTCTTCGTCAAGGGCGCCGACGGGACTTACAACAAGCACGCCGATTACGACTACCTCTCCTACGTCTTTGCCGACCTTTCGAAACATGAAGAGATCCGGCACTACTTCGTCAACAGACAGGACTACGACGACGTTATTCCTATCAACAAGATCAAGGTCTTTACCGAACACAAGTCCGATATCAGGCGAAAGGGAGTGGCGAGTATTATCAAGAACGCTGCTTTTGACATTCCTTCGCACCCGGCATTTTTGGATGAGGATGACGTCAATATCTTACCCTACATTTTGCTTCCTATCATGGGCGGCGAAGTTTATCCCGAGGATGAGGCATTGGAAATGCTTACCGATCTTCAGCTATTGCCGCCAGACAAGCAGCGCGATCCCGACAGCAGCAACATTCTGACACATCTAGAAACTCTTACTCTCCTGACCACAACGAGAGCTGGCCGCGATTTGATGAGGAGCATCAGCGTTTACCCCATTGTTCGGGAAACCCACCTGCGTGTTAATGATGAAGCTGTCCAGGATGCTTGCGAGCGGCTAGTAAATGTACTAATGAGAGACGAAGCTGAGGGCGAAGAGATTGAAGGAGGGGCAGCGACAGCAGAAGAAGAGGACGACATCGTTGAGGTTTAAAAATCTTGAGAATGAACCAAACGGAGCTGGTTTCGCTCCATTAACGTCTGCCCGAAACCGACAGCCCGAGATTGGTATGCTCATACGTCATTTACATACCGTCTGGAAGCACTTTGGGTTCCATGATGCTGAAAGTCGTTACACCGCCACACACACAGCCTTACCAAGACTTTACTTGTCCCTTGGGTCGAGCTCCCCACAGTCACCATTACACCGTATTGTCATGCATTCACCAGCGCCGTCAACCTTGGCAAAAGCTTGAGAGTCTTGGGTATCTTCCTGTGCTTGTGTCGACGAAGATGCCCTTCTTTCCGATCTGTGTCATGATGTCATCCAAGCCCTGCCACAACGCACTGAAAAAGTGCTTCTGCAGAGAACAGAAAGCTTGTGTGTTAAAGAGGGAAAAGCTTGTGCGATGGACCGGAAAGCTTGTTTTGGATGACAGAGCCAATGAAGTGGCACAAAAACTATATGTGCTCTCGATATGGTCCCGGAAGTTTATTGACACCGGCACGGCTCGCTGAATGATGTTTGCCGCACAACATACAGAGGCATGGGACGCACCGGGCACTTGGGTTGTCAGATCAGCTTGGCATACGCAGGTTGAGCACCAGATTCATCGAGATTGTTTATACCGGTTTGTACCACAACACCAGACTGAATCTCAGACTTCACGGTACTGCGAGTTGTTTTCGTAGTCTATCAACCTCCAGAATGGGTTGTTGTCAACCAGAGGAAATCCGTGCGCTGTGATCGGCCGAGCATTGCGGATTTGCCAAGGCATATCAAACGATACGTGCTGAAAGTTTGAAATTGAAGGGTCCCCCTATCTTCAAAGTCACACACGCGGCTCTCGTGCTTGCTCGAACATGCATAAAGACAAGCTGGTGGCCAACCTTGGAGCTTAAAGCGAGATGCCTTGACGCGAGGACTGCTCCAGTTCCCACTGATGGAACAGCACCGGCCTTAAACGAGGATTTGGTGAAGACAAGATGAAAGACATGTTGCTCATGTCTTCTGTTGTGTGCGAAATCACGGGTGATTCCGTGCACTTGAAAGAACATGTTTCGACGTCTCACTCACAGATCAACAATGGTCGTTGGTCTTGGTGGATAACCCGAGTGCGTGGCTCGCGTGGGCAAGTGGGTGGGTGGATTCTGCTGTGACAGGGGCTTACGGAACCTTAAAGGATCCATCGAACCAATGGTGGAAAGGCGAACCACGGCGCGTTGTGCTCACACGTGTGGTCTCTTTCCATGCGATTCGCGGGGAAGACCCTTCTGAAGGTGGGAGCGGCTCTTTTCTGGGGTTGTAGTGGCCCCTAGTGGCCCATGCAGGTGGATGTGCCAAGGTGCTAAGTGAGGTTAGAGGCGAAGACAGCGTCCAGGGGTCTTGACGGGGCAGGACGGGGCAGGACGGGGCAACAGACCAGTCCAGACTTTGCGACCTGAGACTTGCCTCAACCGTACGCAGTACACTACACCAAAAACCAACAAATGATGAGATCAACTTTGTGGAGTCGTTCTCGGACAATAGGCATCCAACATGCTCCCTTCTCGTGTATGATGTTCCTGGCGCTGTGGGCCAACCAGGTGCTAGACTTCGCCCATTATGCAGCACTCGGGCACTTCCGATTTGCAGGAGGCCAGGCACAAGAAACACGTTTTTGTTAACGACAGATCGGCGACATTTTTCTCCCTTTTCCTCCCCTACGGCCGACGGTTGGTCCGGTCGGAGGAGGGGACCCGGAGATAGAGGAGCTGGACATCGGGATAAGCTTCTGGAAAGAGTTTTCTAGACCGGGCGTCGATATCGATCTTGTCCCAAAGCCGAGGAAGCTTGTTGTCGAGTTTCCAGATGAGGGAACCCCCACCCCGTGAGCAACCGGCCAATCAGGTGTAATGCTGAGCCCACGAGCTTCATGCCTCCTTCAAACTGGATACCCAAGCATCAGCCAAGCACTTCTGCACTTGAGCACTTGCAGCCAACGGCTGGGTCTGGTCTTCGGTATGTGATGCTCTTTTGCATACGGACCACGCTCAGCGACGTAGGGTAGTGTCGCTGTGAGAGGAGCACTGGGCGCCCAGGCATCCAAGACGCTTCCCGAGTGCAAAACTGCACCTTAGGGCATTATGCCAAGTAATCGAAGCTTTCAGAGTTTTGCCTTAGTTACCTCCACTGTCTTGTCTTGGCTGAAACTGGGTGCGTGGTGGTTGAACAGCTCGCTGGATATGGTACGCTACCCACGTGTCCGTAAAGACAGGTTCTCTGTCTCGGATGGGAGGAAGATGGCAAGGGCATTATCGTGCTCTTTGTAGGGGAGAGTGAACAGGATGGGTTTGCTAGCTCGTAAAGGCAAAGTATCGACTGACCATTGGCGTGGGAGGTGGGTGCGTCAAACAAACTATTGAGGATATCCCGCGGGACTGGGTGATGTCTCGGAAATTGTCAGTAGCTTTCACGCCATCCGATGTGAATACCTGATCCTGGGGACACTGTAGTCCCATTCCTCCTACAATGCTATAAGATAAATTCCCACGCATGCCAACTCCTTCCTTTCTTCCTATTTTCCTCGACAGCATAAGAGCCAAGTCCTTCCGCCCTTCTACCTCCCTTGGTTCCCATCGGACCACCAAGTCTCTTGACCAAGTCCGACTTCGTTGTCTTGAGGACCAACAAAGGCTCAATTATTCGATACTGCCATCGCGACAACAAGCCATGGATACCCCTCAGAAGACTGCCGGAGGCAACAACGCCTACCACAACTTCTACAATGACTTTCTTCACATTAAGGATCCCAACGAGAGGCGACGACTCGCCCTCGCCGAAGTCGACAGAGCACCTTTCGGATGGTATCACGTTCGGGCCGTTGCCGTTGCCGGTGTCGGTTTCTTCACAGACTCTTACGACATCTTCACCGTCTCTCTTTTGACCCTCATGCTCGGCATTGTCTACTTCCCAGGCGAAGGCAAGATGCCTACAACCTCCGACACAGCCATCAAGCTCGCGACATCGGCCGGCACGGTCATTGGGCAGGTCGGCTTCGGCGCTGCTGCTGATGTCTTCGGTCGTAAGAGCATGTACGGATTGGAATTGTTGTTCATCATCTTTGCCACTCTCGCTCAGGCCTTGGCCTCCGGGTCCCCTTCCATCAACATCATCGGTATCATTATCTTCTGGCGTGTCCTTATGGTAAGCAATCATTCAGACGAACCCCTCTCACAAGAAACATATAACTAACACCTATTACAACAGGGTGTCGGTATCGGTGGAGACTATCCTCTTTCCAGCATTATCACCTCCGAATTTGCTACAACCAAGTGGAGAGGTGCCATGATGGGTGCCGTCTTTGCTATGCAAGGTCTTGGCCAGCTTGCTGCCGCATTCGTCATGTTGTTCGTTACACTCGGTTTCAAGAAGTCGCTTGAGGCTGCCCCTACTCTGGCTTCCTGCACCGGAGACTGTGCCGTTGCCGTTGACAAGATGTGGAGGACAGTCATTGGTGTCGGTGCTGTTCCCGGCTGCATCGCGCTTTACTACCGCTTGACTATCCCCGAGACTCCTCGCTACACCTTCGACGTCAAGAGGGACGTTGAGCAGGCCAGTGACGACATTGAAGCCTTCAAGACGGGCAAGCCCAAGGGCCAGCCCGACGAGGCCACCCGCATCGTCGCCAAGCAGGAAGCCGAAAAGGAGATGGAGATCCCCAAGGCCAGCTGGGGCGACTTCTTCCGCCACTACTCCAAGCGCAAGAACGCCATGCTGCTCGCCGGCACCGCCCTGTCTTGGTGCTTCCTCGACATCGCCTACTACGGCGTCTCGCTCAACAACGCCACCATCCTCAACGTCATCGGCTACTCCACTACGGGCGCCAAGAACACGTACGAGATCCTCTATAACACCGCCGTCGGCAACTTGATCATTGTCCTCGCCGGCGCCGTCCCCGGATACTGGGTCACCGTCTTCACCGTCGACACTGTCGGTCGTAAGCCGATCCAGTTCATGGGCTTCGGTATCCTCACCATTCTTTTCGTGGTCATGGGTTTCGCCTACAAGCACCTCTCGCCTCACGCGCTGCTCGCCATCTTCGTCCTCGCCCAGTTCTTCTTCAACTTTGGTCCCAACGCTACCACCTTTATCGTGCCCGGCGAGGTGTTTCCCACTCGTTACAGGTCTACCTCGCACGGATTGAGCGCCGCCATGGGCAAGATCGGCTCTATCATCGGTCAGGGCGCCATTGCCCCCTTGCGCACCAGGGGCGCTGTCAAGGGAGGAAACCCGAACCCGTGGATGAACCACGTGTTGGAGATCTATGCTCTCTTCATGTTGCTCGGTGTTGGTACCACGTTCTTGATTCCCGAGACGAAGCGGAAGACGCTGGAGGAGTTGTCGGGCGAGTTCGATATGAGTGGTGAGGAGGAGGCGCAGAGGGATACGACCGTCACTGAGAATAAGACGGAGGCACCCACGAGTAGTGCTGTTGTGAACGCTTGAGGAGGGGTTGGCCCATCAAGGGTTGTTGGTAATGGCACGTGTTTTCCATTCTTTTTATTGATTTATGATATAATGGCTTGTTGGGGAGCAGAAAAGGGCAGGAGCGATAGAACCTGGAGGGAAGAATGGTTGTCTGTTTGGTGGGGGTGGGGGGAAGGGGGGCAAAAACAAAAGGGGAGGAGCGATAGAATCTGGTGCAGGAGGAATCGATAATACCCGGAAATGTCCAATGAAGAAGAGATTATGACAACTCGGAATATCTCATGAACTTGCGCTTCGCTGTATGTGGTTGATAATGTGATGTATTGAAGATGGGACGAACAAGACGAGAGTGTCTCGAGGGCTCACGTGCCTCGACTTTGGTCGTAATACATCGGAGATGTGTACCGTAACTGTAAGTAACATCGTCTTACGCTTTGTCCATCCAATATAGACACTGGACTGGCCTTCTATCTTGCGAGAAGAACCTCAATTCATCCTTGACACAATGGTTACTTACCTCTGCATTGTACACCCCATCCGGTGACATGCGCTCTTACGACAAGTCGAGCATCTCGGCATCATTCTGTGCTTATTGGAAGGTGCTAAGTACCTTTGCCAGCTCTCGAACCGAGTTTAAGCGAATGTCACTACACAGAAAAATGAAATCAGGGAAAAGAAAAGAAAAGAAAAGAAAAAGAAAAGAAAAGAAAAGGAAAAGAACCAAGAACAAGAATTGAGCATACCGTTGCAGGTTTTGGTCTCTGCAGTTCTCTAATCAGCTCTCAATTCTCTTCGATGAAGATAAATCAGTAACTCCTGAAAGCCTGATAGCTACCTCCCATCTAGCTACACGGTACTTCAATTCCGTGTTTGGAAGGTACACTCATCAGACAACCGTGGCAAGACGCTCTTAGAGGTAGTCGGCAAAGGTAAACCGCGCCACTTCCGTTCGTAACTGTCCTCTTACTTCGAACCTGCCTTGAGTCATCCTCTTATAACTCCTCTGTCACTGCTTTCTTAGGTAGTACTACCCTTTCATCTTTCTGATTGCTTTAGCTCGTCTCTGCCCATTCAGTGCAGTTATTCATGCGACCTGTCTGGTCAAATAATTTCCCTCTTTCAGACTGTGCATATGGCCTACAAATTTTTGCAACTAAGATTAGAGGATACTGATTTCCTATACATTTCATTGGCGCTCTTACATTCTCTAGTCGCGACCTTCATGTGTCTGCTTGATTCAATATCTTTTGTAACCTTGAACGAACAGTGCAATTCCTCAAACACGTGATTGTCTATATATCCTAGTGTTGGCATCGGTTGATAGCTCTTCACATGTCCGCGGCCATTGATTCTGTACGATACCGCTCAGAGATCCTGGTGTTGGCATTCAACACACATTTTATCGTGTTTTCTGTGGAGTCACATCCGTCTTGCGTGCTCTTCCTATGCCTAAAGATACTTAAATAACCAAGACTATCTTATGGCTACAAACGGCGTAAGACTTAGCTGCGAGAATGGTACTGAAGTGGCCCAAACGAGAAAATGACACCCTTTCGACTCTAAGCCGAGAATATCTCTAAATGTGTATATATGTACCTATCAAGAACAAAGCCAACCAACACCATAAATATGTGTCTCGCGCGTATACCCGAAGTACATATAACCCTTGTAGCAAGTCAATAATCCGAGCCTTGACCGCCCGTTTCGAGACCCTCTACCTAGTAAGCAGAGGAGAAAAGTGAGAGAGCTTTCTAGATGCCAAAAAATGTCTTTAACCTTTCATAGGTGTAAAAGCTCGTAGCCACCATGGGAACTACCTTCGCATACCCAATAGTCAAGCCGACAAAGAAGCCGCGGACCCCCCGTTCCCGCATGATCAGCTTGGCCGTCTCGCCAATGGTCAACCTATGACCATCGCCGACCGCTCCGCCGACCTGCATCCGCCGCCTGATGACCTCCAAGGGGTACGACACCGTCTGCGAGACCAATCCCGCGATACCACCGGCCGAAAGCTCCGCCCATGAGCGCAGGGGGGCAGCCTTACCGGCCGGCGCGTTTTCTGGTTGCGGTAGTGTTGTCCATTGTGCAAGCTTCGGGTGCCGGAAGATGTCGCCAACCGTGTCGTGTGTGAGGAAGGACATACCGGCGTAGGGAAGCATGCCGAGGAGGGTGGGAGAGAAGCCGCGGTAGAAGTTGGCGAGCCCGGTCCGCGGAATCAGAGCGGGCGCGTGTGCTGAAGTCGGCGCGTTTTTGGGAATTGTGAGGGCATTTTCGCTGTATATCTGCCTGATGATGGATCGGAGGGATGACCGGCCTTCCCGTTTTGTCTCGAACGCTAGCCGTACTCGTATGAGTTCGAGGGGGTAGGTGAAGAAGACGGACGTGACGCCCGCAAGCGAGCCGCTCACAAGCCGCCGTAGGGGGGTTTCGTGGTCCTTCCGAGTGATGACGAGTGCCCTTATTTGCTCGTAGGCCAGAAACTTGATACCGGCGTACGGAAAGATCCTTAGGAGGGTTGCTGAATGCCCCCTAAATAGACCCATAACCCCATCCTGTCGATATATTTCTTTTATGGCCTCCCCAAAGCCCCACCACGAGCCCGCGTACTTGACGAAGTGTGGATTGTGAGCCTGGAATAGGATCTTTACCCGATCAAGCGGTGCGACAACGGTTTTGGCCTGCCAAACAAAAAGAGTCAGTCGCGACCATCGCCGTCAAAGCGTGCACGAGATGCGACCAGTGTAGTGCCGATAGAATTGGAAATACTTACCGCGCATCCGGCCAAGCCCCCTGCTACTCCCGATCTCCATAGGTAATCCAAACTCCGTTTCTTCTGCGAACTCGAATGCTTCTTGGACCGCGGTACCGACGCTTCATCGTCTGTTGGGCATATCGTTGCTTCACCTCTCTCCTTCTGCATCTTGGCCCCTAGCCGGAACGCATCAGCTGTTACCTCTCGTGGTTCGTTTGATGCGCTCCCCGACATGGAGGCATGGCTGATGAGCGCCGGGGGCATTCCCTCTGACGCGGGCCTCGAAAGGGCCCAGAATATCGTATGCGAAGGATCGCGATCTAGGAGAAAGAGAGAATACGCCTTTCTACAAGCGCATTGCCGGCGGAGAAGTCTTTAGGTGAATGCGTGCGGGCTCGCCGATGCGACGGTAGAAGTTGCCGGTTTTGCTTTGCGATCAAAAGCCAGAAGCACAACCCTAGAGTTGCGGCACCGAGATGGAAGAATAGGAGGGCAATGGATGCGGAATTGAATGGGAAGGGAGCGCTGGTTCCAGAACTGAGTCTGGGGAATTGTTGTTGCTTGTGTGTTACAGGAACTGAAGGTATTTTGGAGGATCGATACAGGTACTGGGATTATTACATCACACACTTTGTAGCGGAGCCGGGGAAAGACAATCCTTGGAGGGCACATTCAAGTTCCCCCATTTTCTCTCCAACACCGCTTCGGGTGAGATGCACTCACTCGACCTCCAAATTCCCAAATTCCCCGGCCAGCCGGTCCCTGCCAGCCGAGGATTGCCGAAGAAAACCTGTCGAGTCTGTATACCTAGAAACGGCGGCGCTGAGTAATCTGCAGAAGCCACCATTCGTGTTGGTCACGCGACCCCGACGAAACGAGTACTGTCGCGCGTCGCCTGATGACCGCCCATTTCCTCGGCTTCTGAATTGTTATCGATTGTTACGTACGCCGTCTTCTTTGCCAGATTCGGACCCTTTTACCCGTATTAACGCGGCCCCACAACCAACATGATCGTGACTGGACGGAACCTTGCGGCGGATGCACCACTAACTACCAGTCGGGAATCCCACTGTTCCTTGCCCTGGATTTAGACTTGAATCATCCCTCCGCCCTCCGGCTCCCGTCTCTGCTTCTGTTTTTGCGGGGTGCAGTGACAAACTGGGGTCCCTTCACCCCCAGCCCGGACACAACCGGTTTGATCAGATCTCTATTCCATCTAGGCCGGATCAGTTCAGTGATTATGGTTCACTCATCTGTTCTATATCACAACGATAATCGAACAGTGTTCCTCCTGGATCTGCCTCGTTCAATCGAGGAAGCTCAGCTTCTCCCGAGAGAGCTTGATGATGGCGCGCTTACTCCGCTGAAGCTACGGACCCTGATTTCGGCAGAACCTCCGTCCTCCCCGTTTCCGACTCCGGAGCCCAAGTCGAAATCGCGATCATCCCCGGCCAGCGCTGCTCCATCTGCTTCCGATCACATAGCGAAACTGATGGCCCGTTCCGCTGCCGAGTCGGCCTTGGAAGACATTCAGCATTTTTATCACGGAGAATGGTGTTTACCGCGTCATTGTCTGCCAAGGATAAATCGCCTAACGACGACAGTCAACCGGAACGGGAAGCGGGGTCCTGACGGAGAGGTTTGTGACGTCTCAGACAATGCCAAAAGCTTTGACGATGCCTCTGGTGAGGCGCCGCCAGACCTCTCCCATTACACCATTCCAAAGGCATCTCATTACCTGCTTGGCACGGTGGAGTCTCGGAGATCTCAGTTTCTCGCGACGGCGCCCAAGAAATTTGATCTGATCCTCATGGATCCGCCCTGGCCTAACCGATCCGCAAAGAGGAAAAGGGGCATCTACCAACCGGCGCGTGACGCGGACTCTATAAGGGACCTTCTTTCCCAGATTCCTGTCGCATCGCACTTATCTGAGGACGGTCTCGTAGCTGTATGGGTTACGAACTCGGCGCGAGCCGCCGAGCTTCTCACATGCCCAAAGGGTATCTTCGATGAGTGGCAAGTCGAATTGATCGGCGAGTGGATATGGCTGAAGGTGACCACCGGCGGAGAGCCCATTGTGAGTCTTGATTGCGCCTGGAGGAAACCGTGGGAACGACTTCTGCTCGCGAGGAAACGTGGAACCGGTCCGGGTGTCAAGAAGCGAAGTCCTATAGAGACCAAGGTCATCGTAACAGTGCCGGACCTCCATTCCAGGAAACCCAATTTGCGAGGTTTGTTCGCCGACCTTCTGCCGCCCGATTATCAAGCTTTGGAGGTTTTTGCCCGGAACCTGACGGCAGGGTGGTGGAGCTGGGGCGACCAGTGTCTGCTATTTCAGCACCGTAGTTGTTGGGTAGAACTTGTTGCGGAAAAAGAAGAAGAAGAAGGGCTGCCCGTTCCATCAAAAGAACGGTGAGGCAAGCAGTATAGACAACCGGAACGCCTTCTAGTGCTGCTCCCGGTCTACTTCTGTATCGTATCCTACATGTTACACGGTAAAATCGCAAATGTCCCGTCCAACAGGTGCGTCATGTATCATACAATCAGATTCCCGCCAAGCCAGTTCTATCCGCTCCAAGATTATCGTTTCTTTTTGTATGAACGATTGAAGTTTCCTCGCTCTGTCACTTCCCTTCGTCCCACCCATTCCCTACTCAGCCCAGAACCCAATTCAATAGGTGCAACACAGTCAAGAAGGCTGGCCCTCATATTCATTGCCTAGTCTCCGAACTTTTGCTGCTGCTCTCCTCCGCGGCAGCCTCCGCCGACTCATCCAAAGGCAGGTTCTCTTCTACTTCGGACCATCCCTCCTCCACCGGCACAATCTTCGAATTCAGAAATGCGTTGACCTTTCCGGGCGCCCATGTCTCCTCACCCGAGAGGAACTTGCTCTGCCGTGCCTTGATGGCCTTGCGGTCCTTGGTCACCTCAAACTGCGACGGCGGCACGACCTCACCCTGGGCCCTGATACCCTGGAATTTAGTATCTTGCTCCTGCGCCGTCTTCTGCTTCTTCCACATGGCGTAGTCGAATGCTTCGCGGGCATCCTCAGCGGGCGGCTTGGGCCAGACGAACGGCTTGGCCAGCTCGGCGATCATCATCTTTTGCGACTTGGGGCGGCGCCAGTTGCCGACATCGCCGTGTCTCTGCTCGTGCATGCGCTGGTTGACGAAGGAGCGGACACCCGTCACCTCGACGTTGTAGACATGGTAGAGGTAGTCGCGCAGGTCGAGCTTGTTGAACTCGAGGGGGACGATGAAGGTCGCGAGGTTAGGCGGCTGCTTGGGCAGCGGGCGGACGAACGTGATGACGTGGTTTGGCCTGTTGGTCAACATCACTTTGTTAGGGCCGGCTCCGAAGTCTGGTAAACGAGACGGATGGATGGGGTGTCATGTCTGCGATATCACGAACTCTAGGGGAACAGAACAGGAGCTTTTTGCAGAGAGGGAGAGGCGGACTGTGCAGGTATAACGAGCGTAATCGCATCGCAGATTTGGTAATATCTTTCTTACAGGAAGATCTGCTTCTTGCCCACCCTAAAGGGGGCATTCCTCAGTGCCTCAGCACCCGTTTTCGCTACGGAGGCCATTGTGCCGGATCTGGTGGGTATACGAAGGACGGGAGGGAACGCGCCTTGTCAATGAGTGAGATCGCGCCGGGGATCCGTACTCACAGCACCTGAGAATCTGGAGCAGCCGGCCGATTGAAAGATTGGCAATTCCCCGTTTCGACAATATTTTCCGCATTCCCCCCGGACCGGCGCCAGCTGGCGGCCTCGTAAGGGGGACCTGGTGGAGAACATCCTCGGCGTACCTAGTGGAGCTCTCAAGCTCCCGCACCGGTGAAAGTGGGCTCAGTGGGCCTAGAGACTACCTTAGTGCAAACTTTAGTTTTGGGTGAAAGACCCTTGCGCCATACTCCCTGCTCCATCTTCAACCGCGACGACGGAAGAACGACGGGAGGAATTTGCAGGATGCATCGTCAGAAGAGATCGATTATCAGTTTTTGTTTCATTTCAATCATTGCTGTCATCGTATGCCTTTTGATCCTTCGATGAAAAACAGTTCCATGTGAAGCGATTTCCCTTCCATAACCGAGACCATCTTGTGTAACCACCGGCGCCTCGCTTTAAACATCAAGACCATCAACAACAACGCCCTTGGTCCAAGTCCATTGCATGACACGGGCAACTTCATTAGCAGATTCCTCAGAAACCATAACGCTGACCAGATACAGAGCTGCATCCAGGCCAGCGGTCACTCCCCCACTCGTAATAACACGCAGTCCACCTAGGCGCATCGCTGCGCGGCGGGCAATAGATTCGCGACGTGTCGCACCCTTGAAGGACATAGATCCCTTTCTGTAAGCGGTTTCAGTAGAGTTTCTTGCTAGATGAATGAAGGTATTAGCACTCACCGGGCATTGGAAGGACGGCGGCCAGCGTCAGATTTGCGTCGCACGTAGGGATTCTCATCCTCGTCTCCAATGTCGAAGCGCAAGTTGTTCACCACGTATCGGGCATCTTCAATGACATCGGTACGCTCGGTAAGATCACGGACTGCCGAGTGGCTGCAGAGATTCTCGAACTGGGTCATATAGTCAGGGTGGGTGGTCGCAGAAAGACCAGACAGGATACCAAGTTCGGCCAAGAAGATGGAACCGGTGCAGATAGAAAGCAGGGTACGCTCGCGAGTGGGATCGGCCTTCTGGATCTCAGAGTAGGCAGTAATGAGGGGCATGGGCTCGGCCTTGGCCTTCAGGATGGCGTCATTAACGTTGCCGCCAACGACAACGAGAACGTCGAATTCTGATAGGCGCTCGTGGGCCTCCTTCCAGGTGATCTGGGACTGGATGGCGACTCCCTGGTCTGAGAGAACGGTGGACTCGCCGGCGGCGACGGTGACTTCGAAGGCTCTGGAGGCTGTATCATAAACCTAACATTAGCCATTTGGTCCTCGACAGATACGTAAAGGGTCGAGGGTATGACGTATGGCTGACTTACAAGGATCATTGGCCTCGTGCAGGGCGGTGGTAAGGACCTCGAGAGGGCCAGCAAAGTCCATGAGGTTAAACTTGGGATGCAGGGCGAAGAGAACGTCAATGGGCTCATCAGCCACTGCAGACGATTTGTGTGCCATCTTGACGACCTTGTTGTGGTGTTTAAGTCAGAAGTGAGAGAGAAGAATGGATTGCAATGGTCTGACGATGTGGCAGGCCGTGAACTACCGACAAAGATAGAATTCGAGGATCGTGAAATGTCTTGGAGGATGGAATGCTCTCTCAAAGATCGCGTTTTGCTATGAATTTGTAGAGACGTATATGATATCACCTTTGTGAGATGGACTGAACAGGACAAAATGGGTGGCCGCGGGGTGCACGGGAAGCTCCTTCTTAAATGAGGCGAGACGTACCTCAATGGACAGAGCCCGTTGAGGAGGGGGATAGGAGCCATCGATGACTACACTCACAAGAAAGAGGGCATCGTGCCAGATGATCACCTCACGTGAGGAGGGGATCGAGCAAGGGCTCAGACTTACCAACCTGGAAATGAAAGCCCAGATCGTCCGCTCCCTCTCCGGGGAAGAGCAGAGTACCAGTCAATGAGGTGCACCTCCGGTCCGCAAGCAGTCGGTTGCATCCGCGGCCGGCAAGCTTTGCGGCAGAGAACCTCGATGGTGAATTGGATGAAACCTCACTTACACCTCAGAAAGGAATGGCGCGTGCCGTAGCGGCAGTCGTACCACCCGCCCCCGCTGGACCTCCAGGTCCTGGAGCTTAGGTTGTTCGAGAACCCCACTTGGTGGGACCTGACGTGCGTTGAAAATGCGGGGTAGGGTTGAGCCAAAAGAGCTTGGTGCACGGGCACCAAGCCCGGAAGCGACCGGGGGTCACCTGCTGACAGGTGGGTCCTTTTTCCATCGCAGCTGCCCCGCAGTCGTAGTGGAGCTGGACGACCTGATGTGTGGTCTGTTCTTTGGGCAGGTGCCGCATGCCGGACAGCTGTTGAAAATTGGAGTGGACGTGTTCGGGAGCCACCTGCAGTGCGAGAGGGCTACCCCAGGGCAGGCAGTGGCACGATTCAACGGATGGATTCCACTCGTTATGCGACCAAACATCCCATTGTGACCCCTGGGACGACAGGGCAAGACAGGAACGACGACCAAAGCCCCCTGGCTCAGTTCAAATCACGGTACAATTGACCACCTAGACCGCCTAGGCAGTTGGAGCAAGAACACGCCATTCCCTTCTTTGAACCTCCCGTCACTCTGATCAAGGCATTGAGATCAACTGCCGTGTCGCGCTGTTGCATCTCAGGTTTCGGGAGCTGGAGCTTCACTGACTAACTGGTTACCGCCGCGGTTACGCAGAACATCACCACAGCATAGAGGTACCTGATACAGCTCCTCCGTGGGAGATACCTAGGTACTTCAAGATAGGTATCTCAAGCTAGGTAGAGCTGTCGGTCTGACTTCTGTCAAAAGCGTGCAGTTCTGATAAGCGAAAAGGAGGGGCCGTTGCAGAGCGCCACTTCTGGAGCCGCCTCGAGCAGCCTCAGATCGTGCGGGACAGTCTGGCAGCCTTGCGGGAGTGATCGCCGGAAGATTGTGGCATCCAATTCGCCAGCCTCGGTTGGGTACACCACTGAGACCCTCATATCGTGCTCCGAGTTCCAACACGCATACTCAACAGCTTTTCGTTCCTGTCATTCCCTTTCAATCGCCTGATCTCACAGGAACATTTATCCTTGGATTGCCGCTTCAAGAGCGAGCGGGTCCGTATTACGGCTTTCCGAGAGCCCTGGGCGCACCAATGACCAACGGTGACTCGGGAAGCTCCCAACATCGAAACGCGACAGGACCGTACTTTTGAGTGCATGTGCTCGCTACCCCGCCGATCACGATGGCCTCATCTGGGTAAGTCTGCCCGAGCATCCAGTGATCGCTTGTCCAGCATCAACTTACAGGTCCCTATGATTGATGCAGAGTCTGACAAGCCATAATCGTGAACTAGGTCTGCCAAGGATCTCACCAAGGCTCTCACTAGCTTCATCCAGACACCAAACCTACCTCTCCCCGATGAGCTCACCACTTTGATCAGCAATTATCTGGATCGGCACGAGCACGCCGAAGATGGAGCTGCAGACCGGTTGAACGAGGAGCTTCTCGCCATCTACACCAAGAACGTCGAGGACCAGCCCGAAAAATATGCCGCCTTTCTTGCGATTCTACGGGAACTTCGTCCCGCCATGAAGACGCCTGCCAGGATCTTCGAGTGGTGGGATAGACTTCTTGACCCCGTCTTGGAATATGTCGGACAAGAAAAGGGCTTGGCTCGTGAAGTTGCCTCGAACACATTGGACCTGCTCATGATTGACCAGTTCGATGGATCGTCAAACTCGTCTGAGGCTAGCCTTGCTCCCTTCACTGAACGTCTGCTGAGTAGATGGATGGACGCCCGTGCAAGCCAGATAAACTGTGCTCCGATGGCGGACTTCAAGGACCGTATGGTGAAGAAGGCTTTAATGGCCTTCGGAAAGAAGGATCCCAAGGTTGGCGTTAGCCCTTTTCCTCGCGTATGCTGCTCTTGACTAATCGCTCAATAGGGCTTCATGACTTGCTTGGACCGGTATTTCGTCAAGAGAGAATATCGTAACTTTGCATTGAGCTTGCTATGCGATTTCGTTCAGAGCCAACCTCCACACCTTCATGTTGTTCTACAAACACCACTATTCAACAACATTCTGAACTCTTTACAAAAAGACGAGTCGACAGCCACTGTCACCATGGCTCTGGTGGCGTTAATCATGCTCCTGCCTTACATACCCAGCTCGCTCGTACCGCTCTTATCTAAACTGTTTAACATTTACGCTAGACTTCTATTCTGGGATAGGGATAGCTATTTTGCGCAAGAGCACACCGAAATCGGCCCGGAAGGCGGATCTAGTGAAGTTACCTGGGAGAGAGTGCTTCTTGATCCAGATCATGACGGAAGCTCGATCCCCTACCTATCAGGGTATTTTACTGTTCTGTACGGCTTATATCCCATTAATTTTCTCGACTACATCCGCAAGCCACAGAGATACTTGCGTCATGCGAACAACGACGACGATATCGATGTCCAGGCCATGGAAATCCGGGACAGGTCCGAGAGATTCAGAAAACAACACCTTTTGCATCCGAACTTCTACAACCTGACAATTGACTCGGAGAAGACGGATATGAGCCGATGGCTTAACAGCGAGGCAGATGAAGTTCTTGCTGAGTGTATGGCTCTTTCCTTAGAGTCTAAACACAACTCTCCCGATGCTCGCAATACCACGCCACTACCCGTGGGCTTGGATCAAGTAGCTGGAGAAGAACTTGGGGAAGACGACATGGAGGCCATCCTCAATGGGTCGTTGGACCGTGGAGGTGTTTCATCGGGGGTTGAGTCCACGCCCAGCATAGTGCGCTCACAAGTTGAACCATCTAGAGAACCTTCTTTGCATGGTCCGATTATCGACGCTGCAAGTCAGCAAGCTGATAGCACAAATCATTTGTCTGATCAGGTTTCCCTTGGTGGCCAGGAAGTTGCTGAGAGTCCTGTCCTCTCACCTCATCAACTGCAGTCGGCTCCACACACGCAACTCCATGATAGGCCTGTCACGTATAAGGCCAGCATATCTGGGCTTCGTCAGTCACTAGCAAATGCCAGTGTACCCTCGCTAGCCCTCGGAACCCAGGAGGTTGTAGAGGATAAAAGCCAAGGGCAGGTTGAGACATCGTCTGATTCTCTCAACCAACCACTGCCCGCTGGTGAAGCAAACAATTATGTCTCGCTTCTCTACCACCAGAATCTGTTACTTCTCAATGATTTGCAGTTTGAGCGATATATCAAGCAGCAACACATGATACATATGGGGGAACTGCGTCGTAAACAAGTCAGAGAAGCTGCCACCGAAGCTGAGACGCAGAATCTTGTCATGGCAAACCGAAGTCTGAGACAAAGGCTTGACGAAGCCAAACGAGGCGAAGCACAAGTGAAGAAGGAGTTTGACCACCGCAGAAGCATTGCTAAGAAGTGGGAGAGTGATCTCTCGACCAAGTTACGGGCGTTGCGCGAGGAACAGAAGAAGTGGGCAGCGGAAAAGCTCGCCTTGACACACCAGCTTGAAGAGTGCCAGAGAGAGTGCGAGCGACTGCGTAGCGCTGCTGACTTGGCCGAGAAAACAATGCTGCAGTACAAGCAGAGCAACGAGGCAATTGACATTAGCACAGAAGAGATCGACAGGCTAAAGGGTGAAGTAGCGCGTCTCACCGAATCAGAGCGTGCATACCACGGCAAGGAATTGAAAATGCAACAAGCGATAGAGAGCGCTACCTTAGCCGAAGCTCGGGCAGAGCAGTTGTCACAGCAAGTTACCGCACACGAGCTGCAAATCGAGAGAGTGAGGAAGCACTACGAATCGCGGATTGCAGACCTCAGTGATCAGTTGGCCAAGGTTGTCAAGGAGAGTCAAAGCAGGAACGTCGACAATGTGGTGGCCGTATTCGAATCCGCTCTCGCTACAAGCAGAGCGAAGCAGATGGAGCTACAGAGAGAATGCGATGTAATGAAGCGAAAATGTACCGAGTTGGAGGGGTCTCTTCTGGATCTCAGGTCTACGAATGAAGAGCTGTCCAGCAAAATCCTTGCCAACGAGAGTCAATCGGCTCTGTTATATGACGGGTCGGAAGCAATGACGCCTAGATCAGGCAGTCCGATTATATCTCGAACGGTAAATCGAGGATTCTCTGACACAGATAGTGTCGAAGGTATCTTCCGAAGTGCTACCCCCTCGTTGATACCAGCAACAAGACAAAGCTCTGTTTCTTCACCAACTTCGATACGCCGTCCAGGAACTCCTCCTGGAGCTGGAATGAGCGGTGATACGTCTAGTCGCTCGTCTCAAAGAACCAGTCCAGTTGTCGAAAGGCACCATGGAAAGGGTAAGGCACTATCTCTGTCCACGTTTAGATTAAGTAAAGCCGCTAACTGTGAGGTGGAACAGGGGTACTTGCGAACGCTCTCAAGAAGGAGCGCAAGGACAAGAAAGAAGATAAGCATGAGAAGAAAAAGTCGAGTCTTCCTGCCTTCAAGGGGATGAGGGGCTTTGTGTGAGTGTCACGACAGCAATGCTGGAGTTTGGAACATAATTGGGAAAGTTGGCACACAGTAACAACATGACCTTAAAACAATATTGTTGTTTGCCTGCTATGGCCCAACTACTACAGTATACCCTTGGCTTGAATTGACTGAAGTCTTTAAGATTTGCATGGTCTTTTCTTCCTTGTGATAACACTCTAATTGAAATTCCCGAGTCATTTCGTCCGAGTGTCCAAAGGCTGTTCACTGTTACTATACAGTCATGCGATTCTTGGCGCTTCGGCTTACCCCTGCCGAATCGACGATAACCCTGGTCCGATGGCGCATCCCCAGCCTCCCACAGCAGACAGGAAGCTCTCCACTCTGCCACATCACGACAACGGTGCTGCGAAGGTACTCTTCCATCTTGCGAAATCCTCGCGCTCTTTCTTTCTCCCTTATCGTGATGGAATTCTCGCGTCCTCGGCTGTAACCAACAAAGGCCTCAAAGACATCGTCAAGTTTGTACGCGGGAATATCAGGCTGTGTCATGCCTAGATGTTGAACAATCCTGCTATAGTCGTCGTCCAGCAGTCCAGCTTGCATCGTTATTCCGTCTGTTGGCTGCATAATTGATCTCCCGTTGCAAAGTTGCTGTGCGCGGCCGAAAACGCTAGGCTGAAAGCTTCAGCAGCTTGAAGGGAGCCGTTAGGCCAAAGAGGTATATCTGCGACCAACCGAGCCATTCAGTTTGTGTGGCATCAAGCAGTGTCTGGGTGTAACAGCAACTGGATCATCGCCTCCGTCACAAGGCAAACTAGAAAATTTCCCCTCGAACATCTATTATCTGTCGATAATCCCGGGGGGTTCTTTCCATCGCACTTGAGTGGTCCTCACTTTCGGTCGTCACAATTTCTGCTACCCTTGCTCGTGTCGCAACCGTACGCTTGAGAGCTGGTTTCGAGACTGAAAGCCAGTGGCAGTTGCGCGTCTCGGCTTGTCTGCCCGCCACGGACGCGAGAGCTGGATCGAAGCATTGGACTTAATAACGGACGGGACCGAAGGATTAGAACGAGACGAACAATCACCACTGAGTGCGCACCCTTGAGAGCCCGACCTACTATCTGACCTCTTCGTCAGCCGGGTAAACCATCCAGATGGCGCCAATGAAACGACTTTCGAACCAACGCGATGCAATAGCGCAAAAAAGCGATTTCGACTCCGTTGTCAAAGAGTTTCTCGAGCTTTCAACGCCAATATATAAGCGCGATCCAGCCCCGAAATCAACTTTGCATCTTGAAGAGAAGTGGGAGGAAATCCCTCCGTCGGCACACGGCCAGGTAGCCAGGATAGCAGCCTTCGCAGCCGCAGGAGATCCATCAACAACACCTGCAATCGAAGGATCCCACCTCTCCGAAACCTCACCATCCACTCGTGCACTCCCGCGACAATACGCCGAAACCTCCACAATCCCAGCTTACTACGGTGCACTCTACTCGAGTCCGTCTCCAGGAGCCGTGGTGGGCATCACCCTCGGCGCTGTCGCCGGCTTCATCCTGATCCTCTTCCTCATCTACACATGCATCAACCTAGGCGGTTACTCAGCAGCGATCAGCGAATCCGGAGGAACCGCGTCGGTAGTGACGCGGCGGAGTCGGCACCACTATCGCTCTTCACAACACAGCGAAGCTGGCGGTGGTGTCCGCGGTGGCATGTACAAACATCGGAGGAGCAGCAGGCGCCGATCACGGTCTACGTCCTCGGCTGGTGACGGGGGAGAAACGGTGGAGATCCGCAGGACCAAAACAAGCCGTACGGATCGCCGGGGTAGGTCTGGCGATGCTCACAGACGTGGACATGGCGACGGTATTATCCTGGAGGAGCGGCACCAATCGCGGCCGATGGGACAGGGACATGGCCATGGACAAGCGGTTGCGGAGCGGATTGTAGTCGAGGAGAGGAGGAGGGGCAGGAGGAGGCAATCGAGGACGGCGAGATCACGGTCACCGCCGGAAAGAGGGCCGATTGTGGTGGAATCCTCGGAGCCTTCGCATCCTCATGAGAGAGAGAGGATTGTGGTTGAGGAGGATGTGAGCAGTGTGTCATCGCCTCCCGGGCCGCCGAGACGGAGGAGGAGCTCAGGATATCGCGACATTCGGCCAGGTGAGTTTGCGGGCGGGGATGAGCCGTTGAGGGAGATAAGGAGGTCGAGGAGTATTGGTCGACATGGGGAGTGATGAGGAACGAGGCTTTGTGTGACACGATACGACGAAGGGGGCGATGCATTGTTATGTATCCTGCTGGATGGTCTAGGCTTGGAAATAATGAACTTTCAAGTGATGAAGTTCTGCAACGGATCCAACTTGTTTCGAGAGATTGGATAAAAGCACGCACTGAGACCCGTATGAGAAATATTGGATACTGTGCACTCCAGACTCTTGGCTGAACACGATCTTGGGAGATTGCCAATACTTCGAGTCCTTAGGATTTCAATCTTGTATATTTCCTGTATTCTCCGTCATGTGCCATATGTGCAGTATGTACATCATGGTTGCGGGGAGTTGTAGCCTTCGAGTGGAGTGGAACATTTGAATCGATATTGCGGGTCTTGAGCGCCTCACCTATCTTTCACCTGCTCTTGAAATTTTAATACATAGTATGTAGCCCTATCGACATTGGTAAATAGGTGGAACATTCCATGTTTCTGTTCATTCCCTGGTCTCGCACAATGTGGTGCTACTGTCGGGTACTGAGTAAACCTACCTACCTACCTAACGATGGGTAGGGCACTTACATGATTCACATGCGCTGCAATGCAGCTGCCCTATCTAACGGCTCGACTTCCCTTGACACAGGCAAATGCCGACGCCCCTGTCCCGTTCCTGCCGTGCCTAACAGGGCGGCAGATTACCCACCGAGATCCCCGCAATGTGCTGGATTGGCGCCTTCCGACGACCTAACCAATAAGCCCAATTCCCCACCATGTTTTCAATGACATCACCAGCGAGTTAAACCACCTTTCATGTGAAATTTGCTTGTTAGTTCATTCGGAATCAACTCCCTATTTTTTGCAGGATATACTTACATTATCGCTCAAGCCGCTACTCTGTTTTATAATCAATCCAAAGACTCGTCTTCGTATACGACAACTCCAGTGCAGCAATTGCAAGTACTACCACACGACATGGAGCATCCAGGTAAGCACCAATTTGGGCTGCGGAAGAAGCAGTACGGGACTCGATGATGATTAACCAAAACAACAGTGAAGGACATCCGCCGAGTCATTGGCACCCTTTGCCAGGGAAGCCCTCAAGAACAAGAAGATACCCTTAGTCGTTACTTTACGCCGTCGGCGTCGTTCGTCCACCCCTTCTGCCGCGTTCCCCATTTTGACAATATCTACATTCCCCGATACGGCCTTCTGAATTCCCGAGAGATTATTCAGTACATCTATAAGTGGTATGCTGTGTCCTTGGCCTTATACCATGCGCCAATATGTACAGCCAGGAACAGGCAGACTAAAAGTGTACTTCCAGGTACAAGATTCTGAGTCCCAAGATTGATATCGAAGTCGAATCAGCCGGTAAGTGCATCTCTCCACATCAGCATGCAAACCGCTGCCCTAGATAAAAGCTCGAACAACTAATGAACTCTGCAACTATCCAGTCTTTGACCAAAAATCTTCCCTTCTCTACGTCAACGTCGCCCAAACCTTTTCCATATGGTTCCTCCCCTTTCACAGATCCCCCGTCCGCCTCGTCACAGTCCTTCACCTCGTCCGCGAAGACGAGTTCAAAAATAATCACAACAAGTCCAGAAACCCGCGCCGCCGTCTTCTCAGCGAGAACAACAACGCCTTGGCAAAACAACATGTTAGCGACAACGACTCAGACCACTCAGGCTCCCTAGAAGGACCCAGCTACGCCTCGGTAGCCGCCGGCGACGCCACACCAGAGAAGACGGAGGAGGGAATCCCCATGGCTCACCCGCCCAACCCAAGCAACCCTGTTGCTGTTGAGAACGCCCCCGTGGCTTCTGCTCGAGCAAGCGGGGAAGCAGAGAGACTAGTCGACGGTTTCAATGGAGGTAACAACAGCAAGCGGTACCTAATCACCAAGCAGGAAGACTTTTACCAGGTGAATGACTGGCTCAAATTTGTGTTCTCGAGTCCGGGAGCGTGGGTGTGGTATGCCATTCAGGTATGGAACTCAATCTTGTGCGTGGTAGGCGTGGTACTATTTGAACCATTGATCAGGGCTATTGGGATTAGACGGGAGGGAGGCGGAAAGCCAAAGTGGACGTGAGTTTCCGAGGATGTTGAGTCTGTAGCCATATCGGGGAACCCCTCGAGAAATTCTATAAGTGGAAGGGGTGCAAGAGATAAGATTGAGAAGATCCAAGCCAAATGGAAGAGATTGGATGTTACATCACAACTTAGGATGATGAGACATCAGCTGTATCGGTAATACTCTAGAGAGATAGTCATGGACTAATATGTATACTCAAGTTGACTGCATTCCTTTAATACACTGGTACCAACGCAAGGCGATACTAAGGGTAGAGATTTGAGCTTACCATCATCTCGAGTCATGGTACACTGTTCTTCTAACCCTGTAGATGCCTTATACAATTGTGTTCTGTCTCTTTCCCGCCCCTTCTCCCGTACCGGTCGACCCTCTCGTCGGGACGGTCAATTTAATCCAATTCCTGTACCGATTAAATTCCTGCTTTCGTGAGCTCCAGCCAAGGAACACGTTCGGCCAAATCTTCTATCCGCTGTCACCATGTCTGTTCTGTTCGTATAATGTCGCCTTGTAGACGTAAAACTCCCCGGGGTATCGCTGCGCAGCTGGGGGCGCTTTTGTGCATGCAATGATTCTCAGCAGCCGATAGTCGATCGGTCTTGATTTTGCCCTCATATCTTCCACTCCTCTACTATCGGGCGGTTTGCCACATAAATTCGCCTGAGCAATCAACTCTCCGAGAAAAAAAAAACGAAAATGATAGAAAATACGTTTTTCCATCTTTTTCAAACAACCTGCTTCTTCATCCACGCAACAGGGACGCAGCATCCCAGAGTAGCACTCTCTCGTCCCAGCCAACCGACGCGCACCAACCGCCTGCACCGAACAAACACCAATCCACGCCCGTAACAAACTCAGTATGCCTGTTCATAAGGCCCAACTGAGTTCCCGCACGGACAGTGTCAGGCTGGCGCCCGCTCGGTACCGGTGGCTGAACGTGCTGCGGCATCGTGGATCCGTCCGTCCACACGCGCACGCTCATGTCGTAGCTGGCGCTCACCAAGATGTCGCTGGCGTGCGGGCTCCACGCAACGCGGCGGACCGCGTACTCGTGGCCTGTCATGAGCGCCAGGGGACCGCCGGCCGGGTTGCGGATATCGAACGTGCGTATGACGCGATCGACGCCGGCCGTGGCGATCACCGTGTCGTTATATTTGTTCCAGTCGTGCGTCAGGACTTCGTTTGGTACCGTTCCCGAGTAGATGGAACCGTCGGCAAGGCGCGAGTAACCCGACCCGCCCGTGGCCGGCGCGTGCACGGGGATCACGTTGGTCAGGTGGTACTTGGCCGATACGGGCGTGCGCAGGTCGAAGATGCGCAGGGAAGAGTCGGCGGAGACGGCGGAGACGAGGGCGGGGTTCGAGGGGCAGTAGGAGGTGCTGTAGGTGCAGCAACCAACGGGGAGGGTCTTGAGGGAGGCGTTGCGCGTGGGGGACCACTGAAGACAAAGTAGGAGGATTGTAAGCCAGCGCGCAAGTCGATCGGCCATGATGCTACGATGGTAGGTAGGAGGAACACAAGAGATGAGCACATACAACTTTGGCGGTGCCATCCCAGGAACTCGAGATGAAGCTGTCCTTGGTGACGGGATTCCAGCAAACCGAAAACGTTTCCCGCTTGTGTTCGTGGAAGTTCATGACAGGGAAGTTCTCCACCCCCAGGTCGAAGAGCTTGATGGAGCCATCGCCGCAAGCGACAATGAGCTGATTCTCGTTGAGCTCCGACCAGGCAAGATCGTATTGGGCATCGTTTGTCTCAAAGGTCTTTTCGCACTGGACGCCGGCTGCGCTCAGGCCCAGGCAGAAGAGGCGACCGTTGCCGACGATGCCATAGTTGGCGGCAGTGGCGACAGCAAGGCGTGAGTCGTAGTATGGGGAGTACTTGACGGCGTAAGGATTGTAGCCCGGGGTACGAAATTCCAGCATGGACGCCATGTTGAGAAACGTGGGCTTGTCATGTGCTGCCCATCAGGAGGTCTCTGTGATAAGTTGGCGAGCTCTTCGCCGACGTGAGTGGTGCACAGCCTGATGAATCTGCCAGCGACGGTCGTGAGATGAGGCGTTGCACCTGGAAATGACGGCGACGGCTTGGACGTATCGGTGGGTTTTGGAACGGGCGTGGGGTGTAGGTGTAGGTGTTGGCAGAACTCACTGTGACGGGATGGAAAGCTGGTTGGAAACTAACTGGGGAACGCCAAACAGCGACAAAGCCGTGGGGAAAGCCTCGGCTCGTCAGCTCAGCTACATACTAGTGGGGTACCCCGGAAGCCCGCCTGGCATCTTATCTGGTCGGCACGTTGCCCCTGCCGCGGGCGTGGAAGCCCCGGGCCGTAACGGCGTCAACCCCACAGCATGGATGGATGTACTCGCTAACTCTGTAAGGGTTAGCGTCTGCCCATGACGTCGCCCCAGGTTACGTAAAATATAGTGTACACTAGAAATAAGTACCGACCTGTCCCCGTGACAGCGCGTCTTTAGCCACATTCAATCACGTCCCCTCCTTTCTCTTCGCAATAAGGACGCGTCTAACATTACAAATCCATGTTCATTTTTCATCCCACGCGCATCTAACCAGCGTGAACCCGGTCATGGTGACAGACACTCCAGCATGTCGAGATTTTGTACTCCTTCCTCTAAGCCGTGGCAATGGACGGGTTCATAACGAGGGGGAAGAGGAAAGCCGAGTCGACGCTGGAGGAAAACGTGGACACCACGCAAGTAAAGCAGACTATCACCGCCTTGTATAATCCCATTGACAACACTCCCGACGGCGATGGAGAATCAACCGATATCAAACTGGCCATACTTGCTTCATTGCATCCAGACTTCGGTCCTGATGCATTACTGGATCTTCTAATCGCCCACGATGGATCCGTGGAAGCCACCACGGAGGCTTTGAAAAGCACCCAGGGCGCAAGGCAGATAGCCAAGAAGAAACCCTCAGGTATCACTTCACAGGCTTCTTTACGCTCTTTCGCCGTTCCATCTACCACCGGCGATGGCGACCATGGCGGTGCTAGTACTATCCCCAAGAAACCCAAGCTCCTTTCCCGGAAAGGCGCAACACTCCATCTCTACGACCCCTCCGACATCAGCACCCACACCCCTTGCACCGTCATCCATAACTTCCTCCCCCCCTCGGTCGCCAATAGCCTCTTGGTAGAGCTCTTGGAAGAAGCCAAGACCTTCGGCAAAGCCACGTTCAAGCTCTTCGATAACGTAGTCTCCAGCCCCCACACATCCGGCTTCTTTGTCGGGAGCGATTACGAGCTCGCCGAGCAAAAATCGGCCTACTTCTACAACGGCGCGCGCCTCTCCGATATCCGCCGCCTGACGCCTCAGCTGGAAACAGTGCGACCGTTGGTGCAGGACGCCGTTAATCACGAGATCCAGCAACGCATCCGGACTCACCACCTGTACGGCGGCAAAAAACTCAGGTACCAGTCCCCCGACCGTTGGTCGCCCAATGCGGCGTTTGTGAACTTGTACGATGGCCCGGAACAGAATGTCGGCTGGCACAGCGACCAGTTGACTTATCTCGGTCCGCGAGCCGTCATCGGGTCTCTTTCGCTTGGCGTGGCAAGGGAGTTTCGGGTGCGGAGGATCTTGCCCAAGGATAAGGACCAAGACGGTAACTCCAGCACCACATCCAACGCCAACCTCGACTCCCTAAACCAAGGTCAAATCTCCATCCACCTCCCGCACAACTCCCTCCTCGTCATGCACGCCGACATGCAAGAGGAGTGGAAGCACTGCGTGACGCCAGCGCAGGCCATCGATCCACACCCGATTGCGGGCAAGCGACGCATCAACGTCACGTACCGTGATTATCGGCCCGAGTTCCACCCGCGGTACACACCGCGGTGCGCTTGCGGAATCCCTACGATTCTGCGGGTGGTGCAGAAGAAGAGGGAGAATTGGGGCAGGTATTTCTGGATGTGTCACGCCGGGAATCAGCCGGGCAAAGAGGCCTGCTCATTCTTCCAGTGGGCAGAGTTTGATGATGACGGGAGGCCGTTGTGGAAAAAGGGCACGGGCACTAGAACCGCCGGGCTAGAACTTGATACAAGAGAGTCCGCTCAAGCACCGCAGAGCCCGGATATGGAGCAGTAGTCATCAACAGCGAGTCCTGAACATGCACCCTCAGTGAGAACAACACAACCGATGGCAAAACAGCCATGGCCGTCGGACACATAAGAGAGCATGGTTTCCTTTATAGACACTTGGAATGAATTCACTTTTTACCATGTACGTATGGATGCTTCCCTTCAACGTAAACCCACCTGTCTTTTCATAACCACCATATCGGCCATGCCCAACGTCCCGATTGCTTCTCCTTTTCCTTGTCCTTGTTTTCACGCGCTCTTTCTCCCCTTTCCGTTCCTTTCATCCCCTTCCCCTGGTCCCCTCTCTGCTTCCAACTACCGGTACTGCTACCTGCCCTGTCATTCAGGCTTCCTCCTGCACCTCCTCCATTTTCGTATCTAGCTGTTACTGCTGCTACTCTACCCCGAAGCTTCTTCGGTCCATTCACACTGCCGGCAACTTGACGAACACGGTCAATGCCGAGAAACCCTCCAGAACCATTTTCTACTCGACTCTGTCGGTTATTCCGCGACGGTAATGTCTGCATCGTGAAGCCAACATCCATACTGTAGGACTCAGTGTCTCGAGGATCTTGGTCGCTATGGCCATCATATCCTCCTCCCCTCCCACATCTTGTTGTTGCTCTTATCCCTTGTCCGGCTCTGCTCCGTCCAGTGTCAAGAAGACCAAACTCCATGGCGTCAAAGTCAGCAGGGCTTGCTATGCGTGTGGTCATAGATGAAGTTCGGCTTAGGCTTGTTGTTCTAGACACTCCTTCTGGAGAGGAAGAAGCGCCAGGAATAGAGAGCCGTGGAGGAGGGGGCGATGGCTGTTTTGCACTCGCTCTCCGCCTGTACTGTCGAGAAGTTGCTGCTGTTGCAATTGCCGGTGATGATCCAAGAGATGAAGAGTATGAATGTCGTGACGGCCATACGCGAGTCCGGAGACTGTCAGTACCTTGGTAAACCGATTCGTTCGTCTCCGGGCGTCCGTTATCGTCACTACTGCCGCTGGCGTTGATACAGTTGCCCTCATTCTTCTTTATTATACTATCCGTACTTCCACCGGTTCTTGGTGTGCGCGTGAACTGGAAACAGTCCAAGTTTGTTTGATTAGAGTATGAGGAGCGTGCTGATACTGGTGTCACTCTCTCTTTCGCATCACTCAACATTCCGTGCTCATCATGTTCAAGATGCTGCGATTGGTAATCCCCACCCTTATAGGCTTCAGCAAAAGAGATCGATGCAATTCTGGAAAGGCGTCCTACAACAGCCTCATCGACTGTCCGGATTTCGCGAGTCACTGATCCGTGCGCATGAACGTTGGCTTCCCGACCACAATAACCGTCTGCTTCGGCAGCAACAGAATCATTTCCCGACGAATCTGACTCCTCACCTGGAAAAAACCAGAAGTCTTTCTTGAAAGACTGTAACGTGCCCTGTTGTTGGCTGCCACGGCCTCCTTCGGCATCCGACAAACTGGGAGCATGCGTCCTGGTATTGAGGCTCGTCTGCCGTATTGGGATGAGAGGCGCTGCACGTGTAGGCGGAGCGGAAGGTCTGACAACATTGTCGCTCTTTAACTCCGTTGCTTTTACATTAGTCAACCTTGCTGCTGGCCTCTTTGCTGACCGAACGGCGAGTGCACTCTGGCCTTGTCTTGGTATACCAAAACGTATTTGAGCTCTTGGGATCGGATTTGTATCTTGACCAGAAGAGATGGAAAATGCACTACTTGTGCCGCTAGTGTCATACGAATGGACAAGCAGAGACGTTTGCTGGAAATTCCTTGCCCTTCTCTGTGGCGGTGAGGACCGCGAAGTGAGTATGCGGTGTATTACATCACCTTCTGTATCCGCGCCCCAATGCTGTGCAATAATTTCAGATAATGAATTGGGCTGTAGCACGTCGCGCGGCGACCAGAGCGATGATGAACCTTTTCTTTCAATGGCAGCAACCGCCGTGGTCTCTACCATGGTCTCCTGGCTCACGATGCCGTCCATCATGTTGTTGCGCAACAGCCCTGTTCTCTGCGAAAAGCCAGAGTGCTGGTACCTAATACGGACCTGTAGGAAATCGAGCTTGGTACCTCCCAAATGGTATTCAAGATCTTCAATGAGATCATCAGAACTCTGTCTCCTGTGGCGTTTACTTCTGCTACTGCATCGAAGGGCAGTAGGAAGTAGTCGAACATGCACCAGCAGGAGTAGCCTCGAGCCAAGATAGAGAGTGGTCCTTATATTGAAGGTCAGATTCACACAAAATAGACTTTTAATGGAATTCAAATTGGATCAATGTTAGGAGTGGGTCTGGAAGGGTGTATACCTTGCGCATGCCTTGTCGTCTATGACTTCAATGATCTCGCTGTTGTCTGTAGGAAGTATTCCAATCGACAAATTGTAGAGACAACCGTATTCTAACGCATCTGTACGTATAAGGATACTATGGTCAGTACGTTTCAAATTCACGGACGAATTCCTCCGAGACATTGCCTGGCATGTAATGGACCTGTCGATCATACCTGGTGAGACTGGGCTGTCATTGTAATCATCTCGCGCTTGAGGGGGAATGCTAGACTGATGATTTGGTGCGCTGAAATCGCTAAGCTGTGTTGAAAGTTGCACCGCCGCCTATAGCGATGTAACTCCATTCTCTAGAGCTTTGATTTCCGGAGTGACTATCACTTTGGGCACGAGCATGAATGGCTTTTCCGCAGACTGACCAGGCGAGCCCGAGTGCGAGGCGCTAGAGCAGCCTCGTAGTGATTTTCCTCCAGCTTCAAGTATCGAGTGAGAACTTTCTTCTCTACAACTTGCAATAGCATTGCCGTGGCTTTGCGCGTTCAGATTGAATACACTCTGAGAACTTTGAAGGCGTAGTGATGATTGACTTTCCTCTCGTCCCATATTGTAAGCCATTCGAGATAATGGAGTCGGAGTTTGAGGCCTAGATGTGTTGGCACAAGCAGCTAAGATTACGTCTTTCCTGTTGCCGCCCCTTTCGCGCTCGCTTTTCAAGTCTTTGTGGTCTGTGATCAGCTGCCTGGCTCTTTGAAGCAGAAAGTTTGGGCTTCTGGTCGTTTTGCAAGGCGACGGGCTCATTCGAGGACGCTGATTACGCAGACTTGTACAAGAGTTGGTTCTGTGGAACTCGAATGCGAGATCGGAAACTCTATTGTGTTCTATAATCAGTTAGCAAGTCTGACCATTGAGGCACCATTTCAGATAAGCGTCAAGGAATTCTGTATGCTTATATCGATTCAATGAAGAGGCCTTGGTCCGCAGCAAGTCACTTACGGTTCGACTGAAAGGTATTGACGGTGATCACTGGTTGACAATGCTCATACCCTTCTAGAAGGTTGGCCGTTGAAGACGAGGCGTGCTCAATTGCCTTATTCTCTCTGGTCTTTGGTACAGCGAGGGATGTGTTCCGCCCTGGTGGCTCTGACATGCTGTCCATGCTTGCATCAGACTTGAAGCTTCCAGCGCTGTCATATCGTGTGGCCGATGGCGGCTGGTAACTTTTATCTGTTGTGCTTGAGCTCACGGAGCGCTTGACGATCTGCAGTGGCTTCGGTACGACCTCATCCTCAGCAGAACGGACATATCGATGGTTACTTCGGTGATTTCGCGGAAAGGATCCGGTCATGTCGACGGTAGCCGTGGCTGACAGGCACGTCAGCAAGAGCGTTGGACGCAAAGCGGTACCGAGGTGGGATTCTGAACAATGTACACGGTCAGGTTCGGTGAACTTGCTGAATGGACGGCGTGTGTACGGCTTGCAATTGGTATGGTAATGAGAAAATGTATCCGAAGTGTATTTGCAAAGATTACTGCTAGTCATGTACGTCGTTCTTCCACCCAACGTCGAACTTGGATAACACTCGAACTGTCTGCTCTGATGATGTCCGGGTATATTAGGATTAGGTTAAGTTGGGTTTAGTTTCAGCGCTTGGCGGTTTTGATCAAGGCCTTCTGATCTGCTGTCATCGTCACGTTCCATCTCCTCGAAGAAAGCGAAGAGGGGAGGAACGCCTATTTCGCAGTTGCTTCCTCAACCAGTTTCTAGTCCCTGCAGGTTCCCAGGGAAAGTGCTACTTTTCGCGAAGCAAGGTACACAGGAACTTGCACTAGAGCTGTGGAACTCCTTCGGTGGTAGTCACTAAGGTATAGCACCAAGGGTCCTAAGGAGGTTTTGTTTGGTTCCTTCGACATCTGCTTCCTCCATGCTGATGAAATTGATCTGTCGATACACCCTCGTTAGTAATAGCCCATGATTTCAAAGCTAGGAGAATTGACACAACGTCGTTGACTAACCACTTCATCTGCCGCCCCGGCGTTTCCAAACAAGACCGGCTCTGACAAGCTTGTCGCGATACCTCTCTTGACCCTCTCTTCCCAAACACCGTCCCAGTTCCACTCGTCAGGACGCTTTGGTGCGGCCGATGTCGTTGTGGCTGAACTTGTCTCCGCATTTCCGCTTGGTGTAGGACTTGTAATGGTCTCATCTATTTTGATCAAATTCGAGTCCGGATCAGACTTTACAGAAGCGGGAGAAGAAGTCACATTGGCAGCCTGTTGTCGCCGATGAGTGCGCCACGCATGCCAGGCGCCCGGATTGCCAGCCGCCTCAAGTGGGACTGAGTCAAGAACGTTTGCATCATCAAAGGTGCTACGGATGTACCGGAGAACCTCGTAGGTTGAAACGTCCCGCCTGGCGGCTGACCTGCTGCAGTCAGAAGCCGCATCTGCGTTGCCTTCGGTGGTAGACTCCGGCGTCCCTTCCGTCTCTCCGCCATTCTTGGACCCATCTTCGGATCTGTTTCCGGTCTGGACCTTGCGAGTGTCCGGTGGGGGCGTCATCTGTAGAGACGCAGGCGGCCTTCCTCGTTGATCGCCACTACCACGCTCCCCACGGGACCGACTGGCCCTACCAAACCAGTGCGGGAAGCCATGACGTAGACTGAAGCCTCCGGGGGGGAGGCGCTCCTCGTCGGTGGCACTGACGGTACCGTTATGCTGGACGTCGGTGCTGTACATGTACGTGGTAAGAGGCGTGATGAGGGGGTGGAACATGTCTGTGGAAAAGGTAACCAGGGGCGGCAGGTTCGGATACGAGTCCGGGAAGGAGACCTGGAAGCGGAGGACGGCGTTGGCGTATGGACCTACGGAAAGAACCGAGACAATGAGATGTCAGTACTTCTACACACTCGCTTCCTCCCTCCATATCACCAACAAGGCGGCTTGGCTTCTGTCCATCTCTCCATTGGATTGCCCGACTTGGGCTTGCCAATAGTGATTGCGATGGAATTACCTTTGCGTACGAAGATCACGCCCGACCACAGATTCGGGTCACCTGGCGTGAGACTGACGAAGACGCCATTTGGACATGCCTGTTTGAGACCGGCACTGTGTGAAGCCGTGGTCATTAGCCCGCTGACCCTGTTAAATGAGCTTCCACGAACAGGCCCAGCTTCCTGGTGGCTTGCGTGCTGTGCTTGGGGCTCTGTATGGCACCTACAACTCGGCAAGGAGATGCTGCCGTCTAACGGCGGGCAGGTTGCCCATCCGGGAGAATGGCATGGATGTTGTCATTGGCCTCGGGGGGGTTACCGTGTTACCCGGTGGGAATGTTGACCGGGATGGAGGTTCTTTTCGTCGGAGAATGTTTGTCCTGTATTTGGACACACAGCATGCGGGGGGGCGGGTTTCTCGTCGACAAGGACTTGTGAGGAATTCTAGGTCTAGGTTTGTGAAACAAGAAAAACCCTGCAGATACCAGAAGACGATTAAACGGAGAGTCCTTCCAGAAAGTTTTGAGCAGGCCGAATAAAGTGGCGTGAGTGTAGAGATAAGGTGAGCGGTTGTGAGGCGATCGAGATGGTGAGGTTGGAGCTATGGTCATGGAAAGATCGTCTGCCCCTGACGGTGAATGAGACACTAGGTAGTATACTACCTCTGTAGCGGGTGCTCAGGCACGAAAAGCAAAGAGAGGGGTTAGGGTTATGGATGATAATGCAAATGTATTCCGCATATGACACTGTACTGCCGGGTACTTCCCATACATTAGCGCCGCAGTCATGTCTTTCAGCGAGCTGTGGAGATCTCCCGCCGGCACTGTTCGAGTCGACAACACTCAGACATAGGCAGCGGAATTTCTTCCGTGTCTTTGTCCAGAAATCCATCCTAGGCTAGACCACGAAACATGAAAGCATCTGAACAGACCAAGGAACAGATGGGAAAATTTGGGTTTGCCAAGTACTTTCGCAACCAAAGGACTTCGAACGCGACAAGCGCAGCAAGGCGCCCGGGCTTTCGGGCTTCCCGTCTCTACATAAAGGTAGTACCTAGGTACCCATGCTCCATGCTACTGGTCGACCGGCACCGGTACGGCGACATGAACGACAACGACAGCATTGGCATTCATCCTTATGATTTTACCAAACCCTGGAGGAACAATCACAGAACGCTAAACTCCCATCCACGGAAGCACTGTGCCTTACAGACAGTGCCCAATGTCGACGCTAGATGGCTTCGAGGCTAGACAGGAGTCTTAGACGGACGGCTTCTTCGATCCGAGTGGACAAGAGGGGAGCCTCAGGAGTCGTCGTCAGGGAAGACCTCCGTTGAAATAGGTGGATCCCCGAGTACCCGGGCCCGTTCTTGCCCGCCTACCATCCAGGAGGGTGGCCCGAGGGCCAGGTCGGAATCTCCGCCTACCTAGCTCCACGTGTCGCCAGAGTGGGTCGAGGCTCCTCCTTCTCCGGGCTCCTGGGCATGGAACTGGGTCACTGGACTTCGCATTCGCAGACCGCAACCCACCCGACCACGGCCGGACAAGGGACACTTCACCACCTCCACTTTGCTGCGCAGGCACCGCACGCTAGAAGGATATTGGATCACAAACTTCCATCATGGTACACTCCGGCGACTGGGTCAACCTTGAGCTGCCAGCGACCAAGACCACAGCATGTGTTGAGACCCAAACACTGAGCTCGGCGAGATCCCCGGATCCAACCAAGGCCAACCAGCCAGCCACCGGCTTAGGACCCGACCGGCCTGTTATTTTGTCGTAGTCTTGAAACCCCACCACTCTTTTCTGGTCTTGCTGTTGTTCCGTCACGGCTTTGTACATACGATACAGGAACCCATCGAAAGGGAAACGCAGCGAAGTCGGCCACCACATCAGAAAGAAGGCAACCTTTTTGCCTTGCCATCCACCGGCCATCTGGGCCCTTTCGCTCTCCTTGACCGCCTCGTACAACAGCGCACTTTACACAACCCACGGCTCCATAATACTGTCGTCATACCATGCTAAAGTAAAAAGTCCCTTTTTTGTACACAATGCCATTTCCAATTCCCAGGTACCATCTACCAGTACAACCTGAAACGGCGGCCTATGTAACATCACCATCCTATCATACACACCGTCCGTGTACGGAGCTTTTCTACCAGAGCCCCATCAGATCCTTATGCAATTTCCTCGCTTCAAAGAACCACCGAGTCCATTGTGGATACCCCTACCGCCTCGCACACCCTTGCTCATGAGGATACTGTACAACTACCCTTATAACGACCAGTCTGTATGCTGTCGTGAATACGACGTGCTCGAGCCCGTGCGGTGTCTTCGTATACAGCAAGCAAAACCATTTAGCCTGAACAGGGAGCAGATGAGAAGACCCGGCGCAGCTTCGCGAGTTCCTGCCCATAGCCATTGCAAGAAACCGTACGAGAGCCGGAAGATATCAATGTGTCCGTTGGATGGGGAAACGATACGTCCGCACCCAAGAGCTTGCGCGGTAGCTTAACGTCTGGACCCAAGTCGGGCCTCGATCTTGGTACGTTCCTGCTCCTTGAGTTGGGCCAACTCTTCCCTGGAGGCGTCGTAGCGCGCAGTCACCTGGTTGAAAGGGTTGTCTGGGTGCTTCTCGAACTCCTTCTTGATCTTCTCCTTCTTCTGGTTCAGGCGCAAACCTTGGCCACTGCCGTCCTTCTCCATCTCTGCAAGTCGTCGTTCCTCAAACGCCGCATATGCTGCCTTGAAGCGTCTCTCGGGATGCCGGTCAATCTTGTCAACGGCTGAAGATGCGGTTAACGACAACGCATCCAGAGCGTTGTCAATACCCGATGCGTTAAGAGTCGCAAGAGGGCCACTGCCGTCATCGTCCAGCTGTGACAGGTCAAGACCCCTTGTCTTCCTGACCGCCGTCTTTGCATTCTTGGGTTGCGTACGCCCCGGGGTATTCTTCTCTTCCTCCTTCAGAAGTGCCTCTCTCTCTGCCTTCTTGCGCGCCGCCTCGGCCTTTTTCGCGGCTTCGACTTCCCTGTAAGATAGCTCGTGGTCAGTACCAATATTCGGGTTAACTTTGTCGCGAATGTCATGGTCCATCTGTGCAAATGTGCGCGCTTTGCACGTCGCCATCAGACTCCTCCACTCTCCCCACCCAACCAGCGTATGTGTCTTTCCCGTACTGTAGGGAGAGCGCATCGAAGGTGACTTTGCAGTCGCGCAAGGGCCTGTGATAGTGCACATTGGATAAGTGAGCCAAACGGAAGCCCGCTAGACATTTGACCAGCATCATATCATGGTGGCATGCAATGCGACGCCTCCACAAGGTTGCACAAAGGTCCCGCGGACATCTTCCGATAGCGAGTCGGAACGCGTTCCTGACGGAGGGAAGTGTTTGTGTAAGGAGTGGCGAACAAGGGCAAGGGTGCCTCGATGGACAAGGCGAGACTTTGAAGGCATGTAGGGGCCGAGATATGGAGGCATGAGATGTCGCACGGGGGCACGGAGCCTGCTGTTGAGCGAGGATACAGCCCCCTCTCCTCATGTAGCGTCGGAAGGCCGACGACAAGGGCCAAAGAACGGACCGGTAAACAAAATCGGCAGAGTAACGTGGAACCGAACACTAGGCTTCATGTTGGAACTTACTTCTTAGCGTTGCTTTTGGCTCCCTTATCCCACTCGGCGGCTTCGGCAGCGGCCTTCTTTGCGTCTTCGGCAGCAGCCTTCTGGGCCGCAGCGTCGGCCTTGCGCGCCTGGCCGGCCGCCTTCTTGCTATTGTCCTGACCCTTCTTTCCAGCCATCTTCTTTTCTTGTGTTGTTTGTGTTCGAATCCTTCACTGTCTTCGAGACTGTCGGTAGCCCGGTCCTAGCCTTGTTGGGTTGCGCGGACTGGCCGATGGGATCAGCACTTGGTGTGGTTGTCTTGGTTTAGGGTGGCAGGGTTATCGAATTTTTGCGCGTATGGGCGTGACGACTAGAATACGGGCTAACTATCGTCGCGGTTTTAATCTGTTCGCTGGCGAGTGTCTTGCTGTTGGTTTTTTAGTGTGTGTAGGTCTCAGCCGAGATGGATCTACACAAAGCAAAGTTGGATGTCGAGTTGTCGACGTCTTCCTTAGTCAGTGTGGGGTTAAAGTCAGGTCAAACAAAGCCAAGCGCGCAATGCTGCTTGTAGTGAGAGCGCGTTGAGGGGGGTGACATTTGCGACTATAGGTGCCCTTTGGTGGGGCCAAAGAACCACGAGGCTCCAAGACATTCCGTCCGTGCCGCCTTCTACTGTGACGTATTCGCCGGATGTTACTTGCGGTACAGAACCGAAACGTACCTGCCCGGTAAAGCAACCTCCTCTTGCTTGCTCTGCATTACGTTCCCATCTTGAACGGCCCGAATATTACAGTCGTACGGCAAATTACACACACTGAGTCACCACTACTGCGATAGCATCCCAGCAAACCTAACATGTGCGAACCTTCAACGCGATACCACCTGCTTGCACCTGCCCGTACCAACGAGTGCTCTGCGTTCTTGTGTGAAGCTTCAGTTCCTATCGATACAATGGAGCGTCTTTTTGAATATATTACATCGTCCAACCTGCCTTGGGCGCAATGATGACTTGAGTTTGTTGATGTCTGATTCAAGTTGGTGAAGTTATCGGGACGATATGAAGACAGAACATACCGCAATCACCAGTACCAGGCCAAGCTAACACAAAAACACTTGATTCAAACCAAGGCTGACGATGAGCGTCCATGGCATGATATCACGACGCCCGATTGTATGAGTGCAGTGATCTTATAGGTTATGGGCCTTGCGCCGCAGAGGTCGCTCAGCTTAGCCATCAAAATGCCGTCCACCATCTCCGTGGCTTGATGGCCTCGCTGGCCTAGGCTTAGGCTGGATGCGATGCACGACTTCTCTTGCCTAACCAAATGTTGTTGAAGTTGAAAGTTGACTACACCTCCTTTGAATTTCGTACCACCTCAACCTACCATCGATGCTGCGCATGTAGTGAGAAGTCGGAGAGGATCGACAAGGTCCGCCCCCACAGACAAACACCAATCTAGGTACCTATTGCATTGAGACCATACGAAAGGTTTCAACAGTGAATGGTGTTCTTTCCCTTTCCTCTCAAGCATGCATCGCCGAGGCGGAGAAAAGCCTCATTTCTTGTTGGTCATGGTCTAATATCGGATGATTTCCTCAGACTTGAGCCCCATGGGGTGCCCGGATCTTCTGTTGGCTTTCTGTAATTTCATGATTTCATGATGTTCTTGTTCGCCGAGGCTACTGCGCTCGAGCGTCTTCGCGACAACAAATATTCAAAAGGCCGTACCTCCAAATGATCTCAATTCAGTGGTTCAAGAATCTTAAGTCTGGGCGATTCGAAACGTCCACATTAATTTCTCACCCGCTTCTCTTGAGGTCCCAAAATGAATGCAATTTCCTCGGCCATTACCTGCAAACCTGATGTCTGTGTTCTTGAAACTTCCTGACCCGAGCTGTCTGACCTACGATGGTGCCATGCTACGGAGTCATTGAGTCGACAGCTAAGATAGTGGTGATGTAAGGATGTACCTCGGGCGGTGTGCCCGAACCGCCCATGTTGGGTTACACAGGCACAACAGGCTATAGCAGCAGTGGTTACCGCACACCAATGAGAGTAGAGTCTGAGGTGGTCTCTCCTCTAGTGCAGGGATTGAATTTCACCGAAAGGGTAAGGAACTGAAAAGTAAGGACAAGTAAGGAAAAAGTCTTGAGATTTTCAATACGTGCCTTATTATATAATCTTATACTCTATAAATACGTATTATATAGGGGTTATAGAGTATAAATACTAGCATCTAGGCCATGCAATTAAGCTAGATTTTGTATAAAATAATAAAATTGCAAGTACATCTCTACTAAATTAGATAAATCTAACTATATTATTCCACACTTTCTCTCTAACCCGTAATAACTATAAATCCCTATACCTACAAAACTATCTATATATCTTCAATAGGCTGTACAAAATCGTCCTCCTATATCTCTATATACAGGCGATCCTCCAACTCATTAAAGAATTCCTATCTTTACTCTTCTAGCAAGGCAATAAAGGGAATATAACTGGGCTTAAGCACTTTATAATTTATATAAATAAACGAAGCCATATCTATCTTCTAGGCTCCCATACTATTACGTAGCAATCCCTCAATATAATTTATAGTAGAAAAGGCACGCTCAGAAGGTACACTATTAACTGGCACTTATAATAATCTAATAGCCAACCGCCAAAATTTACTACCTTCTATACGTAAGTAAGTCTAAAAAGTAATAAGCTAGAGGTTATACTACTATACCTATCTCTAGGGAGTAAAGATACCCTCCTTTACTAAATAGAGTAAAAATTCGTTAATTAGCTTATTACCTTCAACCCCCGTCCTCTAACTATAACGGTATAAGAAGTTATAGATTTAAGATATAACTTCTAGAATTGAGAGCTAGATCTAATAAATTTACACTCCTATATTATTAGAGTAAAGAAGGTAAACCAACTAATTTATAAGAATTAACTACTTATTCCTCCTCGCTATATAAATAGCTACGAGAGACGCTTAATCTTATAGTATAATACTATACTCGTAAGGTTGCTAAACTTACTAAATATTAATCTATTGAGGGATTATAAAATTAAAAATTACTTTATTAAACTCTAATATTGACTAAGCCTCATAAATTAACTATATAAACCTCTCTATAATATTGAGAGTATACTAGAAATTAAAATTCTCAATAATACCTAATATAGCGTTTAATCTAACGGGCTCATTATTATTAGCATTAATAGTAGGGGGCATATCATTAGGTATAATATTATTCTAAGCGTTATTACGTATATTATATACAAATACTTTAAGAGTATATTATGATTTTTATATAAAAGTAATAAATTTATACTATAACCCCCAGCGGGTAATTATACTTTTGTAAATTAAATTAATATTAATTTATATAAATAAGAGCCGATAAAGGGAAATAGACTTATAAAGATAGGATACTAACTAGCTTATACAATTCTACTAGCATATATACACGAAGTCTTACCAACTATAATTTAAAGGTCTTAAAGAAGGTTACCAATTAGGTAACGCTATTGGCAACTAACTTAAATAGCTCTATCCCTAATATATCTTTAATAAGTAACTAGAGGCTATAAGAATTATAAAGTATAGGGAAGGCGTGCTTCAACTCGTACTTCTCTATAAGTAATATATTAGCGAGGCGGGCACTGCTATATATATTAATAACAAAACTAGTAATCTTTACCCACTAATTTCCAATAATAAGACCGGCCTTAATAAAGACTAACGTAGTAATATTAACTATAATATATTCAGTACTACTAATATAGTAGTTCTTCTAATAAAAGGTTATCTTATTAAAGAAATGGATCAAAATATTAAATATATAACGGCCAGTATAATCGTTACTCTTATTAAAGACGATACTCACGTAGGTTACCCTCTAGATTCTATCTATTACCGCCTCCTTTACTTAATTATAAATCTTAAAAAAATAAATGTTTAAAATAATACGCCGGTATAATAGAGTATATATTAGGTTAACCGACTAGAATAGAGCTTTAATATAAGGGGTATCCAAGCTTCTAAATAGTTTACTACTATATAGTATTACTCTAGCTGTAAGGAGGTTATTTTTCTCCACCTACTTAAAGGTTATAACTAGGGTATAATACTATATATCCTTGTTATTAGCAACTTACTTATTAACTAGTGAAATGGTGAGAAAAACCACAACACCAACACTACTACTACAACCAATATACCGTATAAGAACTATTATTCAATTCCAACCGGCAATCTAATTAAAATAGGGCTAGAGGTGATCTTTCTAACCTTTCGGATGGTCGAGGTAGGAGGTACTGAATTGGGTAAGCTTATTGAAGATCTCTATCTATCGCGGGATTCGAAGTCTTTTCTTCGAAGAAGGAATGGTAATAATTATTAGCTTCCTTAATAGATATTTTATTTAAGGTAATAGCAAAAGAAAAGAATAAAATCTCTATCAAAGGGGTTAAATAATTATACAATACTTTAAATAGATAAGAGTAAATAATTAAACATTACTAAAGATAATCTTTATAAATAAAGATAAATAACTAAACTAATAAATTAGTATAATAATTATTGTAATAATCTCTCATCTTTCTTGTTAGTTATTATTAATAATATCCTCCTCTCTCCTACTCTCTCTTACTATCCCTATCTTTTCTTTTCTTTATCTATTAACCTACTATTTTATTAGATAAATCTTTTTATATTCTATCTTCTATTAATATTAATAATTAGTATTTGTTAATCTTGTAGGCGCATCCCTGATCTGTATGCCCTACTAAATAAATGAAAAAAATTCATCGTAAAAATCAGTATATGCACCCTCAAAGCATCCTGCTCTCCAAATCACTAGGTACCGCTAATATATATTATAAACCTACAATAGGCATTCGTTAACAATTATCCTACTAATTTACTAATTTCTACTATTAATTTCTAGGGTTCAACTCGCCTAATACTTATATCTAAATATTCTCTTATTCGGGTGATATTAACGTATTGTAACTAATTACAGTATCGGCACTTTGCATCCTATACATCGCCGCCAAATCGATTACAGAGTTCGAAATAGCGGTAAACTGCCTTATTTCGAATGAGAAGCATCATAAGGTTGTCTGAATAGCTTCAAACATTCAAATACACTCAAAATCATATAGTTTGGTCAAGAAATAAAGAAGTAACAGTCAATAGGATATGTGCTAGCGTGAAGGGATTTTAGTAGTTTGAGTGCACGGGCCGTTATTTACAAACGGATATTTTCGACATTTTCACTATTTCAATATTTTCAGTAAATGTGTTATTTTTCCAGAAATTGACCAGCACTACTCTCCTCGAACGAGATATTGGTTTGGGTGAATGCATCCCCGAACCGCGGGTATAAGACCAAAAAAGTTAGATCTAGATAGTTAGAAGGCAAGGCAGTAGGTAGAGGTACCACCACCACCTAGAACCATAACGTTTGTTGTCTTCACTGGTCTGATTTTCAGTTCTTATCCTATGCGAGGCTTGGTTATCATCATGTCATTCAATGCAGTTTGATTCAACCTTATGATTTGAAAGTGGAATCACACGAGACATCATCTAGTTCGTCAACGTCAGCAAACCCCTTGTATTTTCGTATATCGATGTCGAGGGTTCTTGTGCAGTTTGCGCAGGTATCTGGCGCAGTGGAATTGACTGTTGGTGGGTAGTAATAGCAGTTATCGCTAAAGGTAGGGAACTTAAGATACCCTGTAGATCCCCCATAGCTGATGCTATCTGTTTCTCCTGCGGGCTGTCGGTTGGTTGTCAGTTCTACTTCGGCTCCGGCCCAACGACTCTCATCTGACCTATAGTTCACAGTCATATCGTGTTAGGAGCACATGGTACAACATTCATCAACTTTGGTATCTGCGGGCGTGTCCTCGCCCTTGCGAAAATTCTGTTCCGATTCAGCCGGCCACAGAAAGGTGTGGTAGCCCATTGGGGGGCAAGCTGTTCCGTACCAAACTTCACAAAATGTGGTTCGAAAAGGGACTGGTACCCATATTGGTTATCAAGACACTCAATTGGCTAGCATAGCATTGTATTGGTGATTGCTCATGAAAATCCGAGCAGTTTCACACGAAACTAGTACAGTTCGCTCACCTCTTTGTGTGAACTTGCTACATGTAGATACATAATTCACCAGGCTTTCTTTCATTTCCCCCCCCCCCCCCCCTTTCCCCCGCGATGAGCGATGATACTTGCAGCGCAAGGACCTCTTACAAGCGTCCGGCCATAAATACTAACGCTAGACAATGAGTAGGGGTCATATGAACAAGTGATGATCCTCTTGATAGTTGATTAGCAAAGTGCTTACGTCCTGCTGGTGTGATACCACGGATAATCTATCTTTCTTGGTGTGTCTATTGGGCTGATCTTATAATCAATTTTCATTTTCCGAGCTCACCAGGATGAATTGGCAGTTGCATTGACGTGTGTAGGTCTGCTTGAGCCTCCTATTCATTAACGAATCATCACGGCTGACACTGGCAAAAGGTCTCAGTTCTAGTTGATCTAGTGCTGAACGCACATTCGAGTTGCAAGGCTGATGTAGGGTTTGTGAATTTCCCCTTTTGGCGGTACCGCCGACTATGAACATCAGTGAATGGTCCAGTCACTGGAGAGTTGGCTTAACTGACCGACGGCCCGAGAAAAGCTATCTACAGTAGGATATCCGTTAGCTGAATTCAAATCCATACATGCCGTCCCCAAGAAAGTGATCGAATGACAGGTCACCTAATCGAGCCTAATTTTCTGTATGTGAAACAGATTGGGTATCGAGTTTTGGATGATGTTCTTCACACCCGTTCCTTCACACTGAAGAGTATCAGAAAGACGAACTTATATGAAGTCAAGCAAGGACGATCTTGCATCCCGATATCCATCTCACCACTTGGCACGATAGAATAAAGTGCTGTCCGCATAATGTATGGTGTCAGACGATGAACAACATCTACAGTCTTGGGAATCAAAGGTTTACAAATGTAGCATACGCTTGTTCAGTCAACGTTTGCCTGTCCTATTCCTGGAATATTCTTATGACACCCACGTCGGTCAACCGAGTGTACTCGAAGAGGAGTTTGTCCGATTTCCAAATTCATCCTCTCACAACCAGGCTGCTCGACGACAGGGCTGAGCTCAACGACTGGTTTCATCAGCGGCCGTCTATGAGCACTCGATAGCATCCCAAGTGCATTGCGCAGTGAAGGCAGACATGTCATTGTCTTCGGTGACATCTGCTCTCGAGCTAGCCCTTTCCAAGCAAAATCCGAGTCAGCAAGTTGCCCATATTATATGCAAGCGACGCCGAGGTTCGGGCCTAAGACATCTCAATAGCGTCCAGCGAGACGTCCTCGAGATGTAAACCCTAGTCGATAATCTGCTTGTTAATGAAGCCGATGATGGGCGCGGGCGGCTACTATCTTGCGATGTCTTTGCATGCTCCTTCAGCAGACCGACACGGCTTGCGCCCCAACAATCACCGGTGCTCGTGATGGTTCCTCGCTAAAAGCCGACCTAAACCCGCAAGTAGTAGTGGTTCCCGCTTGTTGATCACACTAGATCACCTCGAAGTCAATTTGGCGAGGTGAGACCACCTGGGGCTGCACCGCAACAGAGCAACTAGACAGCACAATCATGCAATTTCTTGCCAGAATGGATTAGGTTAGCAATGGGTCTTAGACGGTCCACTTCTAACCGTTGAGAAAGTTGAAATAGGTGGAGGTAGTAATCCATTGTTTGTAGCTATATCCCGTTGCAGTAGGTGCCGTGGGATGGATGGTGGCGCTCGCATCAATGCCGAACAAAATAAAAGGGATGGATACCTCTAGATATCCAGCGAAACTCGTACGCAGTAGACTCCGGAGCCGGAGGTGCCTGCCCGGCTGCGACGTAGAGGTACATATTGTAGGCATTTGGATTGCTCGCAACAGGCAGTTGCGAATCCTCAGAGCTAGAGGTACTGTGTACCTACCCCCCTTCTGTGCAGTGTAATGTGGTCGGGTATAGAGCGCAGGTGCCCACTGGGGCGGGCAGCCCACCGCACAGGACTCCAGTTCCATGTCAAATGGAACCTCTCAGCTTTGACTCAACTATGGTAGACCTTTTAGCATTTAACAACTCGATAGCCTGAAACTGTGATTTCCAAAACCATTATCACCATCCGTTTCGATAGTACGTTCCGAGTCGAGCCTATCGTTTCTCCCTCGATTTAATCCCCGCGACGCTTGTCTCTTTGTCTCATCATGTGATGGCCTCTACCTCTAGGCTGTCCCGGCAGCGTTGTCCATGGACAAGAACATCCCCTGATGGTACCATTTGTCTAGTGTACAGTGGCCCAAGTCGTTATTATGCTCAATTGAAAAAGTTTGGTTGAAAAAAAATTAGTGCTGGGGACATAGCCTCGATCCCCGGCCATAACCATCTTCATCTCCTCACAATCTTGCCTCAGTCCTATGTATTTTTTATTGGAATATCAAACCCATACTGGCAGAAACTTTCTCCAAGCTTAATTCCAAGACACAAACAACCCCACCGGAGCTGAAGTTATATCAGCATTTCTTAGGTGACTTTTCAAAGGTTTCTAACAACCCTACTGTGCCCGTATATTTAAGGCTATAAAAACAGCAACTTTAGGGCACCCTAATACCTACCTATACCTCCAAAAATACAGCATCATGACTTCCGAATCCTTACGGCCTACTATGTAGTAGTACCAACGAACACAAAGTACCTCTACCTTGGCGAAGAGCTTCCCGCAAGAAAGTTCAACTTACCCGTTACATTACTGTCCAGAGAGTGCAGCTGCAGGCTAGGAATGTACGGTTATACAAAGTCTTCTCATCCACATAGAGGTAGGTAGCTATAGCGGCCCCAAACACAACCTTCAGCAGTCCTCCATAGCGTTTGGAACGAGAAACTTTTTCAATTTCATACGTGAAACATTACTAACATGCAACATCCTTGTAGAGAAGCCGATATCGAGTGGGTACGTTTTCTATGACAGCTTCCATTTTTCAGGTACTATGCATACAAATTTGCTGATCTCCAGAGTTTGGTGCTGGGTACAATCTTTTGGGTCGTGTAGCCTTGGCTCCATGAACGGCGGATCCCGTTTTTTCAAGTCGATCCAGAGTCCAGACACCGGTCACCCCTCTTCTCGGCAAGAAGCAAGGGCGGATGGATAAGGATGCCGTAGACACCCCCCATGAGAGAAGGCCATGGAGATGGGTTTTTACAGGGCCTCTCAAACATGTACTTTTCTTTTAGAAGCAGGTTTCCATGCTGTGTCATTGTGCTGTGCTATTGTACTCAAGCACACCACCAAGTTAGGTAAGTCGCCCTTGAGATCCCATGCTACCTACGTATTTGCTCATAATGAAGCTTGTGGAATCAACCAAGCTTTGCGCGTGACGAAGGTGGGCGCGTGCATATCCGAAGAACAGACAACGACATAAAAGTCATCCGGCACTTCGAATACACTTTGAACTTTTGATACACGTCCGGGTTTGTCTGCCGCGAGTACCGATACTTTCTCCTGCTGTAAGGACAGCTCTGCTGTTATACACTACAGTATGGCTGGATCGTGCGAATGGATCATCGGATTGGACGGTTCTTACTCCGAACATCGCTCCTCGCACTGGCCAATGGAATGGCAGAGATCAACTTTTCATGCCACGTTTGAAACGACAGATGGAAACCCACTCTGCTCCTTTCTGTCGGTAACGGAAGGGTTCCGTCAACGATCACTGGAGGCTTGGCATCAAGAGTTCGGGTCGTCCAGAAGCCCACCACGCGATGATGGGTTGAGGTGGAACTCCCCAAGGCCCGGCTCGATGCACACCACCTCTGGGCTGCCGTGCGTCATTTGTGTAACCGGGGGACGCAAGCCGGGTTCCGTCTACAGGTCAAAAGGCGCAACAAACTTCTATGACCTGGTTTCACAGTCGGCTCCCGCCCAGGCGGATCAAACTTTGCTACCATGCCCAGCCTCCGGAAAAGAACACGGCTTTACTGTTGGCTGGCCGGCACGGCTGAGTACCGTCAAGGGGGGATTGACAAAGTGCTCAAGGGTGAGTCGGACTTAGTGTGAGTGTGGCAGCCTTGTGACATAGGTAGACTGGTAAGCTGAGACTGAGACCCCCAACGCACCTTTCCTGGAGATGGCACGCTTGCAATAAGCAAAAAGTGCCTCCCTTGCCTTGCCGGTGTGGACTGCTAAAAGAACAGCAACTCACCGGTAAGAGCCACGCACCACTGGCAGCCCATGCATCACACTAATTGACCATGGTACATTCACGAAATGCCTTGCTAGGTGGGCGTGACATTGTCAGTGTTGAGAACAGGAGGAAATATAGTGTACAGTATACACTAAGCAAAGATGGCGTGAACGGAGCGCTTTGAGTAGTCACCTCGCCTTCTTCCCTCTTGTTCACATGTTGGCACCTAGCAGAGGAGCGATGCCCTGGCTGATGGACACCCGGATTGGTTTTCACAACCATGGGCACCTGGCTCAGCCTGGACAGAACAACGAAGTCATCGGAGCTTGGTCATAATCGCCACGTTACACGCAGAATCGTTCCGGATTACCGAAAGATCAGCCTCCCTTGTGTGCTGCCAACCCACGATTTCGCATACACGACAGTCAATGCTCCCCCTCAGTCGCTGATATTTTCACGACGTTCGGCTCTGGATTGAATCAACGACAAAATCAAGTGTGGTGATGCACGGAAACAAAGTGTCAATGAGGTGAACACGACAAGGCCTTACCAAACTGTGGTTACGAGCCAAAGTATTACCTCCCTGCCAGGTATCGGGCACGACCGGCACAAGTAAAGCTTCGTGACTCTGTAAGTACGGCCACTCGAGTGCCAGATTGTCAGCGACGTGACCCACGGGTTTTTGACTTGCCCATCTCACCACCTAACCTCTATGCGAATCTTCAACCATCGCCCGGTCAGACATCGCAGTATTTTCCAGCACAGTGCATAGTAAAACTTACGGCCCAGGTATAACTCTACACCGGCCACGGCGTGCTAAAGATGCTGGGTTCCAGTGCAACGGGTCGCATCTGTGTTCGGCGGGATCCCATCCCGGACGGATGCCGCGCAGGCCGCGGTAGCGTGCTGTACAAACAAGAAGTACCACTTTGGTCTTCAGCAACAATCAGATTCAATTTTGCGGAGACGACCGGGTTATCGCTTCGTGGCATCGGCCCATCTGATCTACGGTGGATACCCCTGCAACTGCATACACCAGGGACTGTATGTACATACGCTGGTTAGTGCATAGGATCGGGCTGTCAGAACTGTTTTCCAGCCACAAGTGCATCACTGCATACTGTATGCGATTCCGGACGTCTTTCGGTGTACATGTACCATCAGGACCCCTTTCTAAGCACTGAAGACCTTCATAGGGCGTTAACTTTTGGTGTTGTGGCCTCCGTTTTGCCTCCTATTCTAGGGTAGCTTCGGTCTAGTGTATTGTAGATCTGCTAGTTAGTGCATACCATTTTTGTGGCAGTACTAGGTTATATACAAAATCAGGGGGCGGTACTGTATAGCAGATATGCGTTTGGACGCACAAGCTATGGGGTAGAATAGCGCTAACCCAGCCATTAGACCCTCTTTCTCGTCAGGCATTGACGCAGCGTACGATTTTGTAAGAAGCATACCGCAAGTACGCATTCCCGTCGTAATGGATATGCTCTGTGGACAGACAGTATGCCAGGATTATAAACGAATCCCGTTGGGAAATGCTGGATATGTAGCTAAGAGCGGGCTAAAATCGCCCGCATAAGCTGTGAATTTCCCCAAAAGAGGACATTTGTTGGATGAGTAGAAGCGGTAGACGGAACTCCCTCCGACGTCACATGGCGCAGAATGGAGATACGGTTAGCTCTCGCGCAAAGGCAAGATGATCTGGCTCCGAGGCTATCGGCGCTTGCTAGGCAAGGTAGCCGTTAGCGAAACCTGCATTGTTGTCGCCTACCCAGTGCGCAGGGAATATCACCATCCACTTAGGTAGATCTCGGTTAAGATCAATAGGGCAGCAGGCGATCCAATTCAAAGCGCGACCATACACCTGCTTGAACTACTGCACGGCGGGAGTACCCAACTTTGCCAACGGTCTTGAGTCCAAACTTAAATTTCCACCTTAGTAGTCTAGTGGCCGATGTTTGCGTGGCTACTTCGCGCAAAGGACGGAACAGACAAGTTGGAGGGAGAGAAATGTCGACAACGATCCAATCCATATCACATCTTGGCTGGATCATGGCTCTAGCCGTCTGGGACCATCTTGGAAGAGCTCCCCAATCCGTGATAAAAAGGGCATAGCCAGGGCAGGACTCGGTCGGGCCCCTTGCTGGCAGGTCCCTAGGTATGTATGTAAGTCATGGTTTTCCAGGGTCTTGCTTTGTGTCATTGCTCCAATGAAGTGTTTGAGTCCAATTGATACAAGACGCCAATCTCCTGCAAAGTTCGAGCTGTAAACCAAGCGCACCTTGGTTTTTCTGTTTCAGTACTTGGCAAGCGCTGGAACAGTGGATAACAACAAGCTTCCGCTCATTGGTATTCATGATGACTGCTGCATCCGCTCTCCTCTTCTCCCCGTTTTCCTCCATGGACTTGGATGTGCGAGCCCATTGTCACACCTCGACCTTCCCTCAACCTAGACTTTGTGGAGAAGCGAGTCAATTCATCATCTTCCTTGTGTCCTTAACTCTACCTGTCTGCATTGCACACCAGTCACGTCTTTTTCATTACTGCGTACATAGCCTTGTCCTATACTCATGCTTCATAACAGGGCCTATATCGCAGTCCTTCGGCTTGGAGGCCGGCGTGATAAATCCGGAGCATCTCACATTATCAACGGCACAGTGTGGAAGAAGCCTTGAGGTACCAGCTACTGTGTACTATTCCATCATGATGTATTCCCTTTAACACGGTACCTTCTCGCGTGTCGCTGATGAGGCTCCCTGATAGCTGATATCCAGCCTGTTCCTCCTGGTCCGCTACGCCGGATGCAGTCCCACCGACGTGAACCCTTCCGTCTCCCGACTTGTCCGGGGCGTCTTTTCTTTTCAAATTTTGATTGAATTTCTCTCTCTCTCTCTCCATTCACCGCCTCCCACCAGACCACCGTCGCGAGCCTCTTCTTAGTTCGCAACAACATTCCGACGCATGTCTAGGGTCGGGCTCGGCGCAAGCTTGTCCACTTCGTCACTTCAGCAATTACCCACGCGAGCCGCGGACTGTGGTCCACCATTGAGCTACCAACACGCTACAGTACCTGGACTGCTGCTGGGGATCCAGGAGAGCAAGGCCTTGCTTCCTCCACACAAGAACCGCCACGCCAATCTCACAGCCTGTCATTCAATCGTCATGCAGTTAGGAAGATTTTCGCTGCTTTGACGAGATTTTGCGGGAAGCGTGGTGCTAAAATGTTGCTGTGATCGGTCGTACCATGCCTCGATGGGAATGGTCAATTGGCGCCTCACTTTTGATTCGTGACATCCCCCTCGCTCCCAGTGATTGCCTGTCATCATCTCCCTGCCCGTTACCGGTCCCCGGTCGACTAACCCACAAAAGCCATGCACTCAAATACCGGATCTGTGTCATGTAGTGTAGTCAGTACGACAGCTACAGCTTCCATACTCATCCGGACCATACACAGACAGTACTGAGGCGCGAAGGCACGCATCAATTACCTTGTGTCTCAATTGCCTGGAGGTTCCCCATCAACGTAGCTGGATGATCTTTCACATTGCTCCAAATTGTGAGCGCAGGTCTTCATCCTGATGGTCCCGAAGCTGTGGTTCGACTGCAAGCACGGGACAGTGTTTCTCCTATTGAGACGAACGCTGTACGTGCGTGTATGGGCACAACGCGCTTATGCGTAGAAATACTACTGTAGGTACATATATCCTTGGTTCCGTTTTAACAACAGTAAGAAGATGCATCTCACCTCGCTCGGACTTTCTATCATCGCTGCTTGTCTACTCTGTTCCGGACAAGGCAGCTCTTGCGGGCATGCCTATATGTGTATCGCGACCGGTTCAAACCCGTTTGACCTGATCGGCTTACCTGTTCAACCCATTGTCCGAAGGTGATGCAGCCACAGCTCAGGTGGTGGTGGTGGTGGTAGTCAGTCGACGTAAGAGGTTCGTGGGATAAGGCGGTCTACCGGCCCGCTGTCGTGCAAGGTGTTTTCCAACCCAACCGTACTCTCCTGTCAGCAAGCAACAAAGCGTGTCCATCACACGCAGCCCAGCCCGCGCGTTGGAGGTGAATAGGTTGCTGGAGGAGCGACAAAAGGGCCCAGCCGGTCTGGCTATCATACCGCCCTGTGTCTTCTGGACATGAGTTGAAACCGGGAAAGCTGGATTGGTCACGACTCGCGGACGCAGGTAACCGGTCCTCGATCCGAAAAGAGACAAAAGGGACAATTAGACGGCTTTGGACCATAAGGGCAGGCCGGTTAGGTATTCAAGGGAAGTCCGTGGTCGGGGTCTACAGGCATAGGCCCTACAACTCACTCGACGCGATTTCCACTTCTGTTTTGTCTTGTTTTGTACGGGACCGCGATATGCGATACGTGGGTACTGAGATTAAGCCAAGCCCAAGGATGCCGGCCACGACCGACCATAACAGCAGCCTCAGGAGTCAGGAGCTCAACATTTACCAACGTAGTGTTACAAAAAGCAATGGTAGACCCAAACATGGATCACAGTCGGGAAGCGGCCACTTTACCTTTATGGCGGGTTCCATCCATCAAATCCGCAGCTGAGGGTGGAAAAGGGTAAAGCGATCTGAGGGTGGCGAAAGAAGAAAAGAAGAAAACAAAAAGAAAAGAAAAAGAGAGCAACCAAGAAGAGGGAAGTGGTTGAAACACACAAAAAAACTGAACAGCTAGCGTCTACCAGTCCTTAGGTAGGTAGTGTACCCAAGTTAGTGTAGGTACATCGATACGCCTCCATCGTCACCCTTCAGGGTAGCGCTACCTCGAGGGTACCGCCCCAGATCACTGCCATGGGCGGATGTACCAGTGCAGGTAAGACAGAATCTTACCTCTACAGTTCCACTTGCTGTAGCTGTACGGCGCTGATGTGCACTACTGGTCCATCAATGGCACGCCAGCAAACACTGTGCGCGAGTTCAGCACCGACCATGGATAGCCCTGCATCATCACAGCTCGCACGCTGAGGCCCTGTTCCTTGCCTTGGTACCTGACCTACTCCAGCTACGGCAGTCCGGGGTTTGGTTTTTTTTTCTTTCAAGAAAAAGTAGGATCATCTTGGGCTTTTACTCCTCGCCATGTACAGCACCAAAGTTTCTTGCTTGTCACCGCTGTTTCAACGTTCCCTACGCCTGATTACGGATACGTCCTCCTCGCTCGCTTCTCCTCCAGTCCTGGGGCCCTGTTCCCAATCCCAACAGCCATCATTTATGTACGCAATATGCTTGCCAGCGGCGGTTCCCTCAAGGGGTCCACACAACCTCGTCCTCAACGGATGATCTGGTGACCATGTTGTTCTTCTCAGCCCGTCCGGCGCCTTGGCCGCCTTCTTTTTGGCGATAGCCGCTGGAGATGCTGGCTGACTCGGTCGGGTCCCCTGCCTGTCATGTAATCGTCCATGACTACCTACTTACGTATATAGCACGTAGTCCCTTGATCAGTCCTCCTCACTCTTTCTCAAATGTATATCCGTCTCACTCCCCCTCCCAGCTTACTCAGTTCATCTCTCTGTCCCTCACGTCCCCTGTCTCCGGTCACTTCGGTATAACGATTCTGTTTGATATATATACGTCCTGTCCCACCCTGCTTCGGCAAGTCATCCGTCAGCCTTGGTCCTTGCTGGACTGGTATCTCAACACGTCTTGACGATTGTCGGTCACTGCCGGCACTGGCCGGCCGCTTTGGAGTCTCCTCCAACAGATCCGTAGGCAGATTCTCTTTTCGGCAACATCTCTGGTCCCAGGCACAACTTAGGCAACATGGCAGTTGGACCTGCTCGTACAGTGGCCGCTGTCAGGCATGGAGTGAAAAAGGCTTCAGAAAAGCGGTCACCACCGCCGTACCCGAAGCGGCAGTTGCTCATTCTCGGTATGTCTTTATTCATCTTTTGGTGCTTGTGTGACCACCAGAAAGGAAGAGCAAGAAAGCATGGGACAACAGAACTAAGATGGCAATAACAGCCTTGTGCCGGATATGCGAACCCATCGCCTTCATGTCGATCTTCCCCTACGTCTACCACATGGTCAAGGACTTCAACATCACCAATGACGAAAGCAAAATCTCCATGTACGCCGGTTGGGTGACGTCCTCTTTCACCTTGGCCGAGTTTCTGGCGGGCTTCTTGTGGGGACGACTGAGCGACAAAATCGGCCGGAAGCCGGTTCTTCTGACGGGAATGGGCGGCACGGGTCTCAGCGTCATCCTGTTCGGTTTTGCGCCGAGCCTTCCAGTCGCCTTGCTTGCCCGTGCTTTGGGTGGAATTCTGAACGGGTGAGTTATCGATCATGGGAGGCACTCGGCATTACTTGGGGAAAGATCGAAATTGAGTTGAACTGAGCTGACACATTGGGTGGGGGGGAGCAGTAACATGGGCGTCTTGCAAACCACTGTTGGAGAGTTGGTTACTGTGAAGGAACATCAGCCACGGGCATACACGGTTATGCCTATTGTGTGGTGCATAGGGTACGGTTCAACACATTCAGAAGAAGCCCACGTCAAAGTTTGCAAAGCATGCTGACTCTTTTACAGATCCATTGTTGGCCCCATGATTGGTGGTACGCTTGCAAAGCCAGTGGATTGGATCCCAACCGTCTTCCAGCCCGGGAGCATCTGGGACCGCTTCCCATATTTGCTGCCTAACCTCTTCAGCGGCATGTGTGTGTTTTTCGGGCTTGCCGTTGGCTTTCTGTTCCTCGAGGAGACCCACGCCGAAAAGAAGTATCGACGAGACCGCGGTGTTGAGCTCGGCAGATATTTGACCTCTCGGCTTTTCGGAAAGAACAATTGTTTCCGGCGACGACTCCGAAGGGGAAAGAACGGGGAGGATCAGCCTTTGCTTGGCGAAACGGACGAGTCGCTGCCCGGATACCGGACTGCAGATGGATCGCCAGAGCTTACTTCGGTCGAGGGCCCGATTATGCAGGAGCCGCTCGATCTTGAGTCGACGGGGGAGATGGTGGAGGCCCAGTCCGAAAAGCCCGAAAGAACTTTTACCAAACCGATCATCTTCATTATCATCAACTACGGCCTTCTTGCTTTGTAGGTCCACATTCTACTGCAACCGACATGTTGAACGGTACTGACAACATTGTACTCTATAGCCACACCATGACCCTGGATTCTCTTCTCCCGGTCTTCCTCAGCACCGAGCCCACTGGCACCCAAGATAGCTGGTCGCTACCATTCAAGTTCGCAGACGGCTTTGGATATGACACCCGAACTGTCGGCATTATCTTGTCCATCCAGGGTCTCTACTCGATGATCTCCACCTCGTTCTTCTTCCCCAGAATCACCGGTCGTCTCGGCGCGCTGCGTCTGTTCCAGATCATCTCAATGTCGTACCCGTTGCTTTACTTCGCTACGCCCTACTTCGTTCTGCTACCCTCCAGCCTCCGCATGGCCGGCGTCTACATCCTGATCATTTGGAAGTGCACACTCGCCACCATGGCCTACCCCAGCAACGCGATCCTCCTGACCAACTCGGCACCCTCGACCTTGATGCTCGGAACGATCAACGGCGTAGCGGCCTCGATAGCCAGTCTGTGCCGCGCCATGGGACCGATTGTGTCGGGATACCTTTACACAATCGGACTAAGGGCGGGATACTGCGGCATGGTTTGGTGGTTCACGGCCTTTGTGACGATCGGGGCGTCGTTTCTCAGCTTCGGCATTACCGAACCCAGGGGGAGGTTTGATGGGAAAGAGGAGATCGAGGAGCCTGTGCCTGCTGCTGGACATTCGGCAACAACGAGAGATGCAGTCGAACCGGTGGCGGCTGAGCCCACCATAACCATCAACTTGGCCACAAGAACAACCCAAAGAGACTGATATCCGCACGTGGCAAGACTGGCGTATATGACTTTATTCCTTTTTTTTACTTCTCTTTTTTTTCTTTTTGTGTGTGTGTGTTTGGGTCGGCGCTTGGTTGGGAATATAGCTGGACAGTGACTCTTTTAGGTTTTGCTTTTCTGGGCACGCATGATATCTCGTATTGAAAGAGCTTGGAGCGTGCCGGTTCTTTCGTGGTTTTCGCATGTGGTCTGGGGTCTGGGTGTTGGGCATTGTATAAACAACGGTCGTTCGCTTAACTTCGTATACCCGTATATCCGGTGTTTTTGTATGGGATTTGGAGAGCTTGGCAAAGAAAGGAAATTGGAGTCGGTCGCTTTTTCTAAGGATGTACGGCATACGGATGATACCTCTTTTTGTATTTTTCAACTTTCAATGCGACTGTACACTATACTGTACACATGCCTCCGTCGCTCGTAGTCTCGAAAGGGTGCTTGCTGGATGAGCTTATCAAATCGGTTCTTCTGATGTGTGAATAAATGCCAACGTGTTTCCCCTTTGGAAAGGCTCATATGCACATCAGAATATTCTCCTTATGATAATAGGATATACCATGAGTGTGCCAAGTCTAACAGGAACATACCAAAACGGGTTTCTGATTGGATCCCAACGTCAAGCTCGCATGCATCTGTGATGTACGTAGCAAGTGTAGTAGGGCATCTCTTGATGAGACAGAAAAGGAGTGGGGGTTTGTGGTTGGTGATTCGCTAGACGCTAGGGTCCCTTATCAGAAGGTTGTGATCGTGAATGAAGCTAGCGTACATAGTGACATGCTGGGGGTGGATGAGCAAGCATCCAAGTTCATGGAATCCATCTTGCACCGCACCACTTTAGGACGGATGGTTCAATGTCAATTCTTGATGTTCCGAGGGAGTTCGATCTTGGCCCGGAGCTTGAAGCCCTCTGCGCGGTTGGACTGTGTTGCGTAAGGACGGAGTGTCCAGTGTATTACAAGAATGGGGTCACCACGGGTTTTATAACCCACTTGAAAGAAGGGGGAGCGTTCGTGGTCTGCTGTCCGATACCTATTCTGTGCTTCTTGGAACGTCTTGACTTCTCCAATAGACCGGTAATGGGTACGTGGTATGTACCTCCAAGCTTGAAAGTTTGCGGGGTTCGAAGCACAGCTGGTGTCAGTAGTTCATCAAATTGCAGTGGGTGGTTCATCCGTTGTAATGTCTTGCTTTAGACGCAGAGCAAGTGCAAGGGACCACCTCTAGTGTAGTGCCGCCCCGCGATTTCCACCTACTTAGGATGGCTGGGGTTGCAGAGCCTATGGTACGACGCGCACCGGAGAGGGACCGATGGACCTACCATGCCTATCAACGAACCTCTCCACTTGCTATCGACGTCCGCTATCCACCTGCCCTCAATACTAGGCCCATTATCTACACTACACCTGCGCCGTTGCCGCTCTCCGCGTGCCGCCCGCCTTTGGTTCGTTCCTCTTGCATCGCATCATAGATAAAAGTCCTCCGAGTTCCAATAATGATGCTACTGTCCGTCAGTCTAGTGTGACCCGCGACGAAACCCGGACGTATTCGACCCTGCCCGCGCCAACAAGGATTGTAGCTATTTTTTTCCACGGCTCGACCGCGCAAACCAACAACGGCCCTGACGGCCGAGCATCACGAGGGTCGCTTCTAGGGTCCTCCTCCGTCTCGGTTACCACTCACTACACTACACTACCGTTCATTCAGGCCACTCATTGTCGGTCAAGCCTCGGATCTGAATTCGCATTCCCCAACAAAAAGACCAACCAACGCAACAGCCCAGCAGCCGGACAGGTAGCAGACGCGCACTTGATCCACGCGCCCACGCCTCGCACGCCAAACCGGACCGCACTGCGAGACCGGTCACACAGGGACAGCGGGACTGATTGGAGGTGCTCTACTGAGCAGCCTGGCATAATGCCGGCGGACACTCCTCCGTCCCCGAACCACCACCCAAACAAGCGACTGCGCCAATCGTCCCCGGAACGAGACTCTCCGGCTTCGGTTCCGTCTGGGGAAGCTCCGTCTCCCGTTAACGAGCTTCTACTTGACGGGTCTGGCGCCGCTCATGGAGGCCAGGGAGGCGGGTCGACGGGGGGCAAGGCCGGACAAAGCAGCAGCTTCCGCAACGTGAGCGCTTGTAACCGATGTAGGCTTCGCAAAAATCGCTGTGACCAGAAGCTACCGAGTTGTGCCAGTTGCGAAAAGGCCAATGTTGCCTGCGTTGGCTATGATCCCATCACCAAGAGAGAGATCCCGAGGAGGTCAGATCCCCCCC